TTACCATGTAGCATCCCCTGCCCTTCTCCCCTGATACTCTCCAATCATTTTTGGCTGTGATTGAGTGCCTCCCGCCAAACACCCCTCCACAGTTCTTTCTTTTTGGTCTTTTGTCCTTTCCCTTGCAGCATTTTTTTTTTTTTTTTTTCCTCTGGACGCCAAGGACGTCAACGGTAAGACATTAAGACAGTTACTTCTTATCAATACCCAGAACATTTCTTTTTCTTTTGTTTTTTTGTCAGGTGGTTTAATTTTACCGCCACGGAAAAAGTCAAAAGCGGTCTTTCAGGTTTTGGATGCGAGTTTTAATTTATTCTTTTACTTTTCTTGGTCGGCTATCATGTCTATTATATCGTGTCATGTTGCGCTCTCTCACTCTTGCTTGTCTTTTATTGCTTCTCCCCTCTCCTTACTTGCTCTTGGTCCTTCCCGCGCGCCAGTTTGGGGTAAGGAAGATTTCAAGCAAAAAGTAAAATATATTATTTGTTTATTTATTTATTTGTTTGGTTCGAAGGCAATGTTGTAACATGGTTTACATTCCCTTGATGTCCGTTTCTTCTCGCGCGGGCCTTAATACAACCTTGCAGTTCAATTAGGTTGTGAGTGTTATACACAATTACACTGCCCCGCCTTATAAAACACATATCAAGAATATTTCTATTTGTATGTGCATTTTTTTTTTTTTTTTTTTTTTTTTTTGGACACCCCGGTGTGTTTTCCAGGGACAACTGAATGGCTCTTTCCTTCTTCTGAGAGCGTGTTATTTGTGAGTGTTTTCTTTTTTCTTTTGTCTCCAGTATATTCTTCGATGCGATGCGCGTCTTCTCTGAACATAGATGAGAAGAATTTTTTTTTTTTTTTTTTTTTTTTTGCTTACGTTTTTCTTTGATTCACGCTTGCAATGGAGTTAGAAACGAGTGCTTCTGATATTTTGTGTTCAGAAATTACAATGGATTGTTCACTTTGGTCCCCTCCCCCTCGCCACAACCATCGGGGAGAAAGGCACGCGCGCATGTGTGTACATGTACATGCTTTGCAGTGCTCGCAGTGCACGAACCTCTGTTCCACTCTCAATCACGTCTCTTTATTCTTTTGTTCTCGCTCTCAATTTTATCTTTGAGCACCTTCTTTTGGGTCCTCCCCCACTTTGGTTCATTTCGACCTCACCCCCCTGTGATGTGCGTGTCCACATCTTCTTTTCTACTGCATGTTTATTCTCCTGTGCTTCAACTTTCATCATTGACTCTGTCTCACTCTTTTTTTTTTTTTTTTTTTTTTTACTTTCTTTCTCTCTCTTTTAGTTCAATTGCTTCCCATTTCTCTTTCTTTCCCTTCTTTTCCTTTTCCTTTTCCTTTTCCTTTTTTTTTTTTTTTTTTTTTTTTTTTTTTTTCTCTTTCTTCCCTTTCCTTTTCTGTCGTCCCATTTTTCTAGCTTTCTTCATCTCCATCAATTTTATCTCGCGGTTTCCTTCTTCCTTTTTCTCATTTGTTCCTTCTCATCCTCACCATCACTTTTTTTTTTCCTGCTTTGAATTGGTGACCTGTTATCCCACAAGGCAGATTGATTCCCCAGAACCTGGTGCAACGAAGGACAACAACAACAGTTGATGCCGTAACTAACAGAGGATAGGAACAATAAACAAGTTACTGTAGACAAGAGCATCAAGAGCATACGGAATTAAGGACAAGATCGAATATTTTTTCATTTCATTTGTTTTTTCAGGTACGAGAGCGCTCATCACTCTTTCTACTTGCATCCCCATGTCTCCCTTTCCCCTTTTTTTTTATGTTGCACTACTTGTCTTGTGTAAAGTGATTGCTGGTATGAACACCTTCTTGACGTAACACTTGATTCTACCCCGATTGCATTGAACTCTATTGTACATTCATCTTGGTCAAATGGGTCGTACCACGTCTTCGGAGTATTTGAGTGGTGACTGTGTCAAGTAGTGAGACAGAAACAGGGGGATACGAAGAAGAAAGGATGAGAGAAAAGAAAGAGGAAACAAAAAGGGGGAGCAAAGAAAGGTGAGGACACTGGATTTTATATATTTATGTACATATTCTTCAAAGTGTTGAAAGGCGGAAAGCAGTGAATCATGTCAAGGAATGGTGGTAGAGACATATTCCTGTTCCAAGAAAGAGCGGAGGAAAAAAAAAAAAAAAAAAAAAAAAAAAAAGAGTTTCGTGTCTCTTAGGATTGGTGAATTGCTTCGCTGCTTCCTCCGCGTTTCCTTCTTATTCACCCGCCATCAACAGTGCCAAACATCAGAGAGTAAAGGACATAGGAAATAGGGGATAGGGGCAACGCAGACCAAAAAAAATAAAAAATGAAGGACTTGTCATTTATTTCTCAAATTTGGGTTTACCTCATGTAGCGCGTTGTTTTTGTCCACATCAAAACAAAACAAAAACAAAAAAAGCAATACAACACACATCGAGAACAAACAAGCAGTGCGTCTTAATATGTTTGTCTAGTCTGAGTATTTCAAATCATCTAATATTAATGACAAAATGGGCCTATGGACCAGTTGAGCCAAAAGAGAAAAGAGAGAAAAAGTATCGTGATTAAAGTATTAAGGAGAGATGGATGATGAAAGGTGATGACAGAGAGAGTTTAAGGGAAGAGGATGCTCGTTACCTCTTCAAGAGCCCTTCCCTTCGACTTTTTATCTATTAGTGTCTTTGATACGATGATGATGACAATGATGATTCCATGTTTTCATTTGTTTGTTATTGTAATTGTTTTTTTTTTTTTTTTTTTTTTTTTTTTCCATTTTCATTTCATTTTCATATTCTCCTGATTGCTCAGCTCTAGTCTTGTCCTTTCATATTCTCGGCGGTATTCTTGTCTTTATAGGTTAATAATCTATTGCTTGCCAGTCTTTTCAACTTTGCCACTCTCGGACGAATTAGAGAAGGCGCCTATCCTATTCTATTCAATTGTATGTGTTAGATTTGAATATGTGTTTAGGACTTGAGATTTTTCGCGCGCGGGAAGGAAAAAGGCGGGTCCCTTTTATTTGATCACAGTAGAAGATCGCCTTCAACTTTTTAGCAGATGTAACACGCCCTGAATCTTTTTTTTTTTTTGGGAGATGGGAAAGCACTTCAAGATCTTTTAATTGCTACTTTCTCTCATTTTGACCTCTTGACCACTTCTATCTCCATTCTATTCCCTTTTCTCTTCTGCAACCATTATTAAGGATTTTTTTTTCTTGCCATCAGAATTATCATTCACCCGTAATGATTGCTTGTCCTGCGGGCAAAAAAAAAAAAGCGTCATACGTTCTTCTAAGAGCTCATTTAACAAACACTGCCTCCCATTCCCTCAATCTCTCCTTCTCTGCTCTTCACTTTTCCATCATTTCAGTTTAATGCTCTTCTTCTTTATTTCGTAGCTCTCGGCTCCTCTTATTCATTGACTGACGTTTTATTTTATTTTATTGTTCTTCCCGCTCTCTCTTTTTCTTTCTCACAGCCTTATTTTCTTTCTTTTAAGTTTGCTATTAGCACTTCATAATAGAAAGAAAACGCTCCACTCTTCTCTTTCTTTCCTTCTTCTTCATTTCCTTTTCATCCTTTTATTTTATTTTTTTGTCTTAACGCACAATTTATTTTTTTTTTAAAAAAACTCCCACACGGCCCTTTTTTTTCATATCCATATTTTTCTTCCCAAATATTCATGACAAAGCTGGAGCCCAATAACTCGATGCCATCCTCCAAGGGTAATAGCAACCAATGGTCGCAACCCATCCACGATGCCTCTGCCGCCTCGTTCAACTACCCGTCTTATTCTTCTAGTTTTCCTGGAACATCCTCACAAGGAATGGGGCGCCCATCTGTACCTGGGCATGGTGCAGCCACATCAATCATGGCAGGCTCAGGAGCTGCCGCAGGTAATTTGTTTTAATATAATGTAGACAGGAATAAGAAACGAAAAAAAAAAAAAAAAAAAAAACTCTAGCAACCAGAAGTGAATTGTCTTGCTATTCATTTCTTTTTTTTTTATCCTCGAATTCACAGTTGGGTTTTCTTTGACAAAACAAAACAATAACAAAAAGTTTTCCTGCAGTGTACTTGTTTCTATTGTCAATTTTATTTTATGACAAAGACAGGTGCATGCAGATCTCGATCAAAATCTCATAATCTCAAATGACTCTTTTTTTTTTTTTTTTTTTTTTTACTTCTTCTTTCGGGGTGGTCAATTTTCCTAATTACATGGTACACTTTTGTTGGTAACAACGGCAACAGGTGTTCCAGCACTTTCGCCCTCACTCCCACCTCCGCAAGGGTATGCGCAGCATGATCCATCCTCGCACTATAGCTCATATCAGCAGCAACCGCAACAGTACCAGTACTATACGCACCAACAGCATCACCAGCCATCAGCATCGTATCCATACCATTATGGCTTCTCTGGAGGATCAGCAATGACCCCATCCTCCTCATCCTATTCATCCCCGACGCATGTCCATACGAGTCTTTCTTCCTCGTCTTCACCCGTATCCTCGACTGGTCCAAGCCTAGGGTCGATTGGAGCCCTGCTCCCACCCAAGACTGATTTCACTGGGCAACAGGACAGTCATTATCACATCAACAATGCAAACCCATACTCGACATACCATCACGCACCTACTAACATCAACAGTAGTAATAATGTTAATCCAACGAGCAACAACAACAACAACAACAACAACAACAACAACAACAACAGCGGTCTGAAGGATGGTCAACGAAACAGTACTTCCAAAAAATCAGCTAGACCTTCATTATCGTCTGTCAATACATCACCAAGCGCGTTCTCGGGACTGACCTCACCCACCGGATCCTCGATCCATACAATTGCGGCGACCAACATTCGAGGAGGGACTACGGCAATCGCAGCGAATCCAACATTGTCACCTCCGACCAGCAGCATGTCGGCCATCTCTGTGAATTCACCACCTTCTTCTTCAGTTTCATCACCAACGACCCCGAAAAAGAAGAGTGCATCGTCCATGCCTTCAGTGACAAAGAAGAGTCCTGGAGCGCCAGGAGCAGGCAACACAACAACTGCTGCTGGAGCAGTTGGAGGAACAGCAGGAGCAGATCCGCTGCAAGCCAAACATCATAAACCTACGCAATCGTATTCATTCTTGATCACGACAGCGATCTTAGAAAGCCCCAACAAGCAATTGACACTTAATGAGATTTACGAGTGGGTGATGGAGCATTATCCATGGTATCGCACCGCTATCAACGGCTGGAAGGTAAAGTGTCTGGACTTTTATTTATTTATTTATTTTTTTGTTCACATCAACTTTGTCCAGTCGCTTTTCATTTTATTCCTAAACATGTGCAATTGATGATGCGTGAGAGTGTTTGTATTGGATGACAAAGACGGTTACATTGTTTTCGATGGGGTTCAGTGGGGATCGGAGGTGGGGAAAGGTACATGAGTTTTTTTTTTTTTTTTTTTTTTTCGCATGGTTTAAACTAAAAAAACTCCGGTGGATTACATCGACAGAGAAAGTAAAAAGACAAGAAACTCTACTTGTCAAGAGCAATATTACTTTGAGCGTGACCAGGCTGAACAACATGGGAAAAAAAACCTTTGCATGTACACAGTTCATTCAGTAAGCACCTATCCATTCAATCCATCCAATCCATCAGGCTTTTTTGTTTGTTTGGAATTGCTCTCAAAAAAAAAAGTCAAACTTTAAAAAAAAAAAAAAAAAAACAAACAACTCTGTATAATGTCATCCACAGCATCGTCTAGAATGCTGGAAGATGCGACCTTTTGGGTGATGAACATCGATCTTATTGACTCCTTGCCGATCATTTTTTATTATCTGCATAATGTTTGTAACTTATTTTATTTTTTTTAACATTTGACATGACACTTTAGAATTCTATCCGACACAATCTGTCCCTGAATAAGGCTTTTATGCGTGTACCCAGGCCACCAAGCGAACCAGGCAAAGGATCGTATTGGAAATTAGATCCTAACCATCAGCCCAATGCGGACGGACATGGCGGCTCAAGCATACCTGGTTCAGGAGGACTAGCTGGCGCAAGTGCAGCTGTTGGTGGGGCCTCAAGGACGAAAGGAGCCCGTCGAGCCAGTGCAACCCGTGGTAGTGGCAGTATTAATAGCAACAGACGCGTGACAAGTGATCCCAGTGCACATCCTGTATCACCTCCAGGATCATCAACCGGGATCCCTGATATCCCTCTTGCACCTATACCCTCAATGAACAACAAACGTGGAGGCAACGACGCAGATCCCTATCTTTTCAAGATGGGAAGCCATCCAACGTCAACATTAATCAGTAGCTCGGCTCCTACTGCTACATCATCGTCAGTCAATAGGCGACATTCACATTTGTTAAGCCATGAGCATGATTATACCTCACAGCAACAGCAGGCACAACAGTCCATGTCATTTGGACAGCATCCCGATCATGCCTCTGGAGGACCCTACATGTCCTCGTCCTTTGGGCTTGGAGCCTTAAACCCACCACCCCCACCTTCATCCTCACAACAACAACAGCACCATGGCGCATTTTTCTCCCCAACGGGCGGACCAGGCTCTGGAAGTGACTTTGGGTCATCTCCGTCTGCATTTTACTCTAATGGAAATGGAGGGGCCCCTGGCCTGAATGATTCTGGCATGCTGGATTCTAATGGTGGACCAGATTCGTCGTCATTCTCGCGTTTCTCAAATCAAGGGATTTATTTTGCTCAACAGCAGCAGGGTGCTGCTGGCGGAGGAGGAGCAGCTACAATGTCACGACCGTTGTCGATGGGTAATAATAGCAACAATAATAATAGTAGCAATGGAGGCAGTGGAGGAACATATGGAGCAAATTCTCCACACTCTTATGGAGGTAGTGGCGGTATGAATCAGCAGAGCGGAGGAGGCGCGGGCGCACCCTTCCATACAGGTTCATCTGCAGGGTATGGATTTTCATCATTCAATAGCAATCGCAATAATAACAACAGCAATAGCAACAATAGGACTTCGCTTGATTATGGTAGTAATGGAAGGGCAGGTGCAACATCACCCACAGGTACAACACCACTGACATCCTCTTCAGCACCCAATTCGAGTTCCTTTGGAGGGTTTATGATGGGACCTGGTGGAACGATTTCACCACCGGCATCGGGATCATCTTCATCGATCCCTCCACCTATGTCTGGAACTTCATCAAGTAATAATAATGCTCGTGCAGGAGGACCTCCAGGATCAAATGGTGGTGGTAGTGGTGCCGCAGGTGGAGGTGGTAGTGGAGGAGGAGGAAACACAGGAAATGGAGGAGCTTGGTAAAAAAAAAAAAAAAAAAAAAAAATCAACGTTGAATTATTTCTTCTTTTTTTTTTCTCTTTTATTTGGTAATGACAGACATGCTTCTTTTTTTTTTTATTTTAATGAAACGACAATGATGATCTGGTGGATATTTTCAGGCAGTAAAAGCAGTTGGACTGTGTGCTATCGTCAACAACAGATAAAACCATAATCTTTAATATAAAACCAAGCAATGAATAAGAGCGCATTGACTCTATTCATTTCATATTTTTTTAATCTCATGCAAACGCACTGTTTGTTGGTTTGAATTTAGAAATTTAGAAGGAAAGTGGCTCTAGTCACGAGACTTAATTGGTTATTGTGTTAATGTTGATTATCTCATCCTCTTTTCTTTCTTTGCCTCCACATCTCTTTCCTACTTCATCTTTGCATTGGATTCTCTGGAACATTTGCATGATTGTATTTCTGTGACAAAGCTCGACCATTCACCAAACCCCAAACACTTCTACTCTCCAACTTTAAAAAAAAAAATCTATCTCCTAGTTACTGCGGACTGTTTCCTTTTCATATCCATTGCGCACTGTACCATTGCACACACAAGCATACAAAACACCCTTCGTACAGCACCGCCTTTTCTCTTTCTAGTGACAAGTCTTTTATTCTTTTTTGTTTCTTCTTGACCCTCCCAGCTCCTCATTTCATTTCTTTTTCACTCCACTCCTTTCAAGCTTTTTATTTTATTTTATTTTTATTGTTATTTGCATATCCACTATTGATAACCAAGTGTGTCCAGGCCCTTATTGTATACTGCAGAGATTTTATTTATCGATTATCATCATGCGGCTCAGGACCCCACCAACGTCCTTGTGCTTCAATATCCTGACTGCCTTGTCAATAGCAACGCTATTACAAGTGCTTGTTGTCTTGACTGATGCCAGTCCAGGCATGGTGATCTCTGTACCCCATCATGATACCAATACCAATTCCCAACTCAATATCAATACCAATGAAGTAGTACTTCCATCCAATATTCATCACAACAACAATAAGAAGAGTCCTGGCGACACCATTCCCTTTTTCCCTCCTTCATTAGATACTCGGAGCGTTGAAACCTATGCAGCCATTCCTCAATATGCATCGGCACCTGCCACAGCCTCCAATTCTGCAACGTCTGGAGCAGAAGGAGGAAAGAATAATAATAATAATAATGGAAGGAATCCAAAGTATCGGAAACGAGTACATGACAATCATTCAGGACCAGTGATTCGGCCCAGGGAACCGGATTTTATCCCTACACGACTAGCATTATTAACGACGATTGATGGAGATCTGCATTGCATTGATAAAGCGAATGGAGAGATTGTGTGGACAAGACGATCAGAAGCACGAGGTGCAATTGTCTCGAGTAATATCACCAAATATACCAGGGGCCCATCCAGACCTTCACCACCTTTACAACAGAATGATCAACAACGATTAGATAATGCAATTGGAGAACTGAATGAGAGTGGGGCAGGAGGAGGAAGCAATCATGGAGATTATAGTTATAATAATAGCGAGGATTGGACTTTTATTGTTGAACCATCAGAGATCCCGAGATTGTATGTCTACTCCAACTCGAGTGGTCTTCAGGTAAAACCAATTGCCTCTTTTTTTTTTTTTTTTTTTTTTGATACGATGGTTGCAGTGTTTAATTGAAAAGGTGGGGAAAAAGGGGCCAGAGTGAGAGGAGTGACTGTTTTGCCTTTTAAGTTGATGGAAAAACAGGGTGAGCGAAATCTGTGCTTCCACGTAGCAAGAGACCATTGAGAACTGACAAATCAAAAAACTCAATTGAGCGTAATATTTATTTAATATTATATCACACACATTAAAATGAAATTGAAGTTGATCTCAACTGGTGTGTTGCACTACCCAACCAACATTGACATTGACATTGAGTGCAGTGGAGTATAGAGAATGCTACGGAACTTGGACCTAAAAAACTACTAAATATAATACTTATCATGCATATACTATATAATATTTATTAAATACTAAAAATCTAACTTTGTTTGATATCATTAGCCCGTTGGATCATTGGTGCATTTGGTCTCCAACTCGCCTCAGATTCGTCCTGACGGGAAACGAATCACAGGTGGGAAAAAGACTAGTCTTATAGAATTGGAGATCAGTACTGGACAGATCGTTACCAAATTTGAACCTGAAGATGTTTGTACTGGACCTGAGGGTATGAAAGGGTCAAGCATCAAAACCATTGTTCTTGGACACGCAGGTATGGAGCAAACATTTAAACTTTTTTTAACAAGAGTTTTCCTGTATATCCTTCCTGACTTTGATTGACATTATTATTATTTTTTTCTGTTAGAATATACTTTGTGCATTATGGATCGAGTTTCGGGCATGCAATGGGACATCTCGTATAGTGAGTTTTTCCCTGTGGAGGATAGTCCCCTGATTGAGAGACGTGGGCCCATGACCTGGATTGGAAGCAATAAAGATGGCATGGTGGCACTTTGGAATTCAGCCGCAGGTATCATGTGGCGAACACCTCTCAACTCCCCTACAACTTCTGTCTTTGAAGTATTCCTGAATTCAGAGACCCGAGCAGCTGTCATCACTCGGCAGAGACAGGCCCCTCCTTTACTGGATCAATTCCCCCAACGAGCTCATGTGGGCATTTATGAGAACCAACTTTATGTTCTTTCGGAACAAAATTATCCCATGTTGGGACATTTGGATCTAGACATGCCACGGTGGCAATACCTTGGAATTGAAGGTCGAGATCAAAATGATGCTGGAGATAACATTGATGATAATAATGATGATGATACGAGGACTGACTGTCGCGCAGGAACTCCTCATTTCCCTGGATGCATGGTTGGTCCCCATATGATCGGATTCCCTTTCCAACCTGACGGCGGGTTCTTAACAGTTGGTGATGGCTCCGGTGCTGATAACGATGTCGGTGTCAATAACAGGGACAAGAAGAAAGGTATTGAGGGCAGTCATAATGAAGGTCGAGCAGGAAAAGGAAGGAAAGAACGTTATCCTTCAAAGCACTATGATCCCTTTGATCCGACACCCATTTCCATGACCACTACCCTTGTTGGCTGGCTTGTAGTCATTATAGGCGTCTTAACAGCTGTAGTGTATTCAAAAGGAATTGAATATCTATCTGGACCTATCGATAACTTCCTGGAGAAGCATAACATTCAGTTCAGAGTCCACGACTTTTTTAAGACTGTAGCAAATGGTGTAGTGGGCGCGACTTCTGCAGTGCTGGCCGCTGGTTCTTTGCTCACTTCAGGTAGTAGTAATAGTCGTCGGAGAAATCCTTTTTATTCCAGCAGGAACAGAGGACAATATGAAGACGGTCTCCCAGAATACAACAAGACATCTTTACTATCTTCATCTTCACCCAGTCATCAATCAGAAGCAAACAAGATAGTCGACAATGACAACAGCCATGGAACCTCATCAATGGACGAAAAAGTAAAGGACAGAGATAATGAAGATGCTGAATTGAATAAGTATGTGAAGAATAATAATAATAACAAGCGAGGTGGACAGCGTAACAAGGCAACAGCGATAACAACAGCAAATGATCACGAAGCTCCAGATGGAAAGGCAAATGGAGCTGGTGAAGGCGTTCGAACTGGACGGAGAAAGAAACGTGGTGCTGGAGGAAAGGGACAAAAGGCCGCAGCAGCAGTAGCAGCGGCAGCAGCTACAACAACAACGTTAGGAGCAGGCGATGAAGCCAATGAAGACACAAAATTAACAGAGAATGATGATGCCAAGCCAGATTCGTTGTCAGGGTCCTGGACAGCCGTATCCGCGAGCGGAAGCACCACAGAAAATGGAGGAGACAACAGCACGACAGCAGGAAGTCAAGATATGATTTTGCAACAATTGCAGCAACAACGGTTATCATTGATATCAACGCGACCGCTGACCAACACACCGCAGCTCAAGTCGATTGAATTGACAGAGACAGTTCTAGGTTATGGAAGTCATGGAACAGTCGTTTACAAAGGCCAATATGATGGACGTGCTGTGGCAGTGAAACGATTATTGATTGACTTTTATGATGTTGCATTTCATGAAGTCAAGCTATTACAGGAGAGCGATGACCACCCGAATGTGGTGCGATACTTCCGAAGCGTAAGTGATGTACTGAAGGGAAAAAAAAGTTTATTATGAGTATGTGTTACTTTAGGACCGGCATTATACTCTAGAATGGTTTTTAACGATATAGGCTTTTTTTTTTACTATCGTTTAGGAACAATGCGATAGATTTTTGTACATAGCACTGGAACTCTGTTCTGCTTCACTAGACGATATTATTGAGAGGGGACATATGCAGCCCTATCGGGACCTGTCTGCAACATTGGAGCCACAAAAGATTCTTTATCAAATCATCAATGGTATTCATCATCTTCATAGCCTCAAGATTGTGCATCGGGATATCAAGCCTCAAAATATCTTGATCGGTGAGCCTAAACAGAGGCCTAAGCCTTCACGATCTTCACTCTCTTCATCTTCAACATCAACACCAACACCACCGCCTTTGGGATCCAGTGGCATGATCACAAGTATTGTTCGAGCCAATTCAACTCCAAGCTCTTCACTAGCACAGGACTTGTATCCTGGCAGGGTATTGATCTCAGACTTTGGATTGTGCCGGAAATTAGAAAATGATCAATCAAGTTTCCATCACACTACTGCTCATGGTGGGCGAGGCGGAGCTGGCGGAGGAACTATTGGCTGGCGAGCTCCAGAATGCTTCTCAGGGCTAGAAGAGGATGATAGTGCTAGTGGTGCTGCTGTGGAAGGTTCATCCAGTAGTTTAGGTGCTGGTGTCAATAATGGTCATGCTTTATCACCATCGTCTTCTTCTAATGGACGTAGTACTTCTGCTAATCGGATGACGCGTGCGATCGATATCTTTTCAGTGGGATGTGTGTTCTATTATGTGCTTACCAATGGAGATCATCCATTTGGAGATCGATATTCACGTGAACGAAACATCTTACTGGATCGACCTAACTTGAGTGGATTGGATTCGATGGGATCTGAAGGAGTGGAGGCCAAGGATCTGATTTCAAAGATGATTGCACACAAACCTTCGGATCGACCGGATGCTTTTACAGTGATGCACCATCCTTATTTCTGGTCAGCTAACAAACGATTGATGTTTATGCAGGATTGTTCAGATCGATTTGAGATTGAAGACCGAGTTGTGGAGTCGAATGGAACTTCAATGACTTTATCAGGCCCCTCTGCGACCCTGAGCCCCTTGTTGATCAAGTTGGAACAGAATGCGAAAGAGATTCTTGTTAAGGATTGGTATAAGGTCATTGATAGGACCTTAGTCGAGAACTTGGGCAAATATCGGAAGTATGATGGCAATAGTGTCCGAGACCTCTTGCGTGCTCTTCGCAACAAGGTAAGACAGCAACAACAACAAAAAAGAAAGGAAAAGAAAGAAAGGAGCAAGTGTATTTATTTTCTTTTTTGTTGTAAAAAAAAAAAAAAAAAAAAAAAATAGAAACATCATTATCAAGATTTGCCTCCACATGTGAAACGAGCGTTAGGAGAGCTACCAGATGGATTTTTGAGATACTTTACATCCCGGTTCCCTAAGCTGATGCTCCATCTGTATTATATTGTCGCCAATGATCCTGGTTTGAGAAACGAAAGCATGTTTAGACATTATTTCACTGACTGAAAGAACAACAAAATGAAATAAATGATAGTCAAACATAGAACAGTCCAAACAAACAAACAAAAAAGTTCAATGCAAACGAGTACTTTTTTAATTTTGTTGAAATAGAGTCTAACTTATTGGGATGAATTGATGATGATGTAATGTATTGAGTGTCCTTTTTGATCTTAAGGAGGGGGATTTTTTTATGCAGATGGATAATGGTTAAGACGGTAGAGCAAGACTTTGCCTTTATCATTGCCAATCGCAAGGTATCCACTCCTTGGTGAGAAGGTTAGTGAGGAAACATAGGAGAGTGGTGTGCCCTTCGTTGGCCAATTGGGGAAGACTTTGAGCGACGGAATATGAATCAAACGAAGTTGGTCCTTACGGCCCTTCGAGGAAATGGCCAGGATTTGAGAGTCATGATTGAAACGCATGGTATGGATTGCTGTCGTCAAGTTGCCAATCGCTCGCAAAGCCTTAGGATTGCGTGTCGTTAAGCATGTACGGTCATAGATGTTGACAATACCACTCTTGGAACTATATTCATTAAAATTTCGGATGTAGAGAAATCCACCCAATATGGTAAGAATGACTTGCATAATATGCTTTTTTTTTTTTTTTTTTTTTTTTTTTTTTGCTTTGATAAACTTACCCGACTGCAAAGAATTGATCATTGGGCGAAACAGCCAAGCAAGTGGGACGGAAACCACCTTCGTCCATGAATCGATGTAAACATTTTCCTGTGCTGACTTCCCACTGATAGATCTCTGCATCACCTCCAACAGAATAAAGGAAAGCCGAGTCAGAGGACCAGGCTACAGCTCTGACATTTCCATTCATCTTCAAGTTCTTGACCCATTGTCTTGTCTTGCTTGAGACCAAGACAATATAACCATCACGTCCCAAGAACGCAAACCATTCTCCACAGGGGGAAAGTGAAAATTTCTCGAGCGATTTCTCTTGACGTCCGTAGATACCATCTGATTTCTCAACTTTGCCAGCCTCAATATCCAACACATAAAAGTATTTACGTCGACCGCTGGCGACAATTTCAGATCCCGTTGCTGAGAATGCTGCCTTGTAGATGGGCATATCCTTGTAGAAAATGGACTGCATCATCTGATTCAGCTTGCCATCAATTTGAAATAAACGTAAGGTGCGATCGAATCCTGCAGTGAGCAACATCTGACCACTAGGATGAAACTCTACGGATTGGATCACTGATTTTGAATAAGCCATCTGATTAGCATTCTTGACACGAGTAACAGAAATGGATTCGGGTGACAAGATCCGGAGCTTGTCAGATTTCTCCAAGAATCCCTTGCTGCTCGATAATAATGAATGCTCCTGTTCCTGTTCCTGCTCTTCGTCCGAGTAATCTGAATCTGAAACAGCTCCAGCAGCTTCACGAGCTAGACGACGACGTTTCCGTGATCCTTCAGGTAATGCCCAGCTTGGTACTGGATAAACTTTTTCGAATCTGTATTAAAAGAAAGTGCACAGGCAGAAATTAGGGAGGGGATTTTTTTTTTTTTTTGTTTAATAAAAAAAAAAAATAAAATAAAAATAAAAATAATAATAATAATAATAATAATAAAAATAATAATAATAATAATAATAAAAAACAGCGAGGAAAAAAACCGCCCGACTTACTGTTTCCTCAGTCTCTGCTCATAATCAACACCATTGACAATATCCTCTGCTTCCTCTTTACGCAACTTTTTGAGGCGGTTAACAGACTTCAAAGAAATGGTGAGCGTCTTATCATCCGGATCAACCCATGCAGGTTTGCCTCCGAACATCACTAATAATGAATGGAAAGAATAAATTACAATATAATAATAACATTTTAAAAATGAAAAATGGCAAGAAATATGATTAGCTATAAGAATATACAAAGTAAACTTCTCCACAACAACATTAAGCAATATTATTGAAGTTTTTTTTTTTTTTTTTTTTTTTCCCTTACATTTGAGCCTATTCGCTCCCGCATTTTCATCTCCTGAACTGAGATCGCCTTCCATGTCCTCTTCATCAGAGCCATGATTTTCTTCCTCGGCATCATCATCCTTATCCATATCCTCATCTTCATCCTCATTGATCTCTTCTCTTGGGAAAGGAGTTGGGCCCACATCCATAAAGAACATGTCGCCACCATCTTCGTCTCCTTGGTGTCCCTCAAATCCTTCAGCAGCTGTATGGTTGTCACCCTCGCCATCATTATCACCATAATCAAATCGATCCATTATATCCAGTTCCTCATCACTACTCATAACTTCATCTCCAAGTTTCGCAAACGTATCCTCAATCAGGTCCTCATTATCTCCAAAAACCAAGTTTTCAAGCTCGATCTCTGATTTCTCTTTAGACTTTAATTCATCTTCATCTTCCCCTTCATTCTTCTTATTTTTGTTATTTGTGTTGTGGATATAACCCCGCTTATGGGCACGAGCATCTGTCATGGATGTAACGGGTTGAATATTTGCTTTCTTAATCTTGACTTGTTGTTGTTGTTGCTGCTGTTGCTTTTGTTTTTGCTGCGTTGCTTTTACTCCTAATTTTCCTCCTGTTCCTGTTCCTGCTCGTGCTCCTGCTCCTGCTTCTCCTGTCTTTTGTTTTTTTGACTTGGGTACCATTAGTGTAATATATTAAAAAAAAAAAAAAAAAATGAAGGCAAATGTGTATATGAATGTGAATAAGCAAGTTAATGACTAAACGACCGACAAGAGCATCTCTATGAGGTTTACGACTCTTTTAGCAAAAAAAAAAAAAAAAAAAAAAAAAGCATCATAAACAACATTTAATATAAGCCACATAAAAGGCAGTCGCATCCTATTTGAAATCGCTATTAGAAAATTTATCCATTTTGTGAACATTATTATTATTTGAGTGCAATATTGCTCATTAAAAGATCAAAAGTGACGGTGCTAAAAGTAGAAGGGAGAAAAAAAAAAAAAAAAGAAAGGAAGAAGGACAAGGGTAGTGGAAAGGAAGAAAAGAAAGAAAAGAGAAAAAATAACAGCTATAAATGTCATGTCCAGCACGACAACAAAATTTTGAAAAAATGAAAAATGATGGCACAGCTTCATGGTCTAGATTATGAAGTAAAATGAAAAGGAAGTAAAAGGGCATTCAGGTGAAAAAAAGAAGATAATTGAGTAAAAAAACATGAAAATCGATTTGGCTTGTAATTCATTGATCCTGAATGGATCTGTTTTCTTTTCCTTCCCCTTTTTTGTTTTTTTTTTTTTCTCGTCTTGAAGGATGTTGATACGCATAAGGTTCTTTTACCCTAAACAGCTAGGACTGGAGACAATTATGATTGGTTTGATTAGGATCGCATATAACATATTTGTTCATTCTCAGTGTCTTTTGTCTTTTGCCACAAATTTACCTCCAATCTCTGATTGATCTGGACGTGTCCGGTCCATTTCATACTTGGATGTTGGCGAAGTCATTTCTTGATCCTCATCCTCTGCTGAAGCCCTAGCATATTCAGGATGGCTGCCCCTTCGCGAGGACTTGACACTCTCAGAGGTTTCATTCGTAGCCTTACTGGCCTCTGTTGTTGCTTTGGCTGAATGAGGTGAGCTTGACCGCGATGGTCCTGAACCAGCGTTAGCTGAGGTTGGTGTCGAAGGTGAGGCCGGTGATTCCGAATGACGAATAGGCGCTAGCTGAGGTCCTTCTGACCGAGCACTTTCAGGAGAGGAATGTGGAGGGGATTGCTTCGATGGGCTTGCTGTTGAAGCGTGGCTATGCTTTGACTTAGGACTGGTCATTGCTGTTGCTGCCGATGTTGAGCTAGTATTGCTGTTGTTGTTGTTATTGTAGCTACCAACTGCTTTCTTGGATCTTTCTGGTGAGCTGCTCTGTTGATGCTGAGCCTTGCGCCGATTTGCAGATTCTAAGCTGGCCTTCTTTTGAAGATGCTGTTGTTCTCGTTCTCGAAGCTGATTCTGCTCAGCATTTCGCATGACCTTGGCTCGTACCGCATCCATGACGGCTTCATGATGAATCGACTTGCGTTTCAAATTTTGACCTACTGCAGGAGATAGTATTGATGTGGGTGAGACATGCTCTTCCTTGGGCGTTATAGGTGGCGGTATCTGGGATTGATAATCAATGTTGGCCACTGGCGAGGAGTGCGCCGAGACTGAAGACAATGCTGGCAGGGTATAATGATGACGAGCTGAAGAAGAGCCTTTGTTCGACTGACCTCCATGCGAGTATGGTAATGACAGTGGCGCTAATGTTGTGGGTGGAGCCGATGCAGGTCCACCATACGTAGGAGAAACAGGAACACGGTGCTTAGGGAAGCTTTGTCTAACCGCGGTGTTGATCTTGAGTGATGGAGGTCTACTCTGGGGACTTGGTTGCATGTGGTGGGTATCCGATTGATAAGGATGACGCCTTGTTGAACCATGTTTGATCGAAGAGGGCTGCTGTTGCTGTTGCTGTTCAGCCGAATCAGTCACCGCATGTGCGCTATGATCGTGAGGACGACCATACTGATGCGAGTGCGTCGATTCAGATGGACCACCTGCCTGTCCTGCTATAGGATACGAAGGACGATGGGGGGGTGAGGGCGCGGTGTAGTTGGCACTGCCGCCTCCCGTCTCCGTGGCACCATTACTGGCATACATACGTCCTATTATGCATTCAGGAGATATATGAGTAGACGATGGAGGTTGAGTGTCTTTCTTTGATAGAATATCATTTATGAGCGATCATTCATCCGTATTTAAAATGTCTAATATAGGAGGCCTGTCGATTATTATTCCTCTTTTCTTTTCTATCGTTCATGCAGAGAGAGAAAAAAAATTGCACCATCTGTGCGCTACCAGCAAGGCTGGGCTGTGAACATGGACTCGAAAAAAGGGGTGCGGTCGACAAGAGTAGATGGATTGACTAGGACCGATTTGTTTATCGAAATCGGTGACACACTGCCACCTTGATAAAAAATGGACAAACAAAGAGGCGAGGGTCGTACAAGGGGTGAATGTATTAAAAAGTCGGACTAGCAGAGCAGACCAAACATTGGAGGGAAAAGACAGGCATGACAGCAATGACAAGGAAGGAAAAAGAAGAAAAAAAAGCATGCGCACCACTAAACACCCCTAACCTCACTTCATATCCTTTCCACAGTAGTGCAGCTGATGATCTTCAAAAAAAGAAAAAGGGAGAGAACACAAATATGACAACAACAAAAAAAAAAGAGATGAAGGGAAATTTGGTCGAACATTGTTTTTATTATCTATTACCTGCTGGGGGCGATCCACGGCGCTTCTCGAGAGCGAGCTCCAGCTCCAGTTGCTTGTACTGCAGCCTGACCTGCTCTGTCTTGTACCGCTCTTCTTCCTTCTTACGCTATGGATTGTTAATGATAATTATAGCTGCAGTAATTAGTAATGCATCTCGGATACAGGAGAAATGGACGGGAATCGCGGGTCAAAAAATATAAATATTCAATATCAATTTTAACCACGATTTAAATTTTTATACCGACAAATCAATAGTTCTTTTTTTCCATGACAATGTTTTTCCTTTTTTTTTTTTTTTTTTTTTAGCATATGTTTATGTGCATGTGTGTGGTGCGAGTAAAATAATAATAACAGAAAGACAGTGTGGCTGCCAATGACTCTTGTAACAATGAAAGGAGGAGCCTAGCTAGCTTGTTAGCTTGCCCAGCCAGGGTTCCCCTGATCAGGGCCTTTTACTTGTTTCAGGATGTTTCCCCATTATTAAATGCAAAATGCAAAATATCCTGTAATACCTTTAATACCCTGGAGCTTTCTATGTCGCTTAATTACTATAGTATTGACCTTCCATCCCATGTATTTCGTAACACACAATTACAGCAATTGCAGTAAATACCTTTCAGAACAATGAGCGTATAGCCACACACTCTCCCTCCCCCTTTCACTTCCCAAACACAAAGAACACACAGAACACCACATCAATTTGCATACAGAGAGAAGGCGAAGCATTATTTAACAATATTGGTCTCGGTCTGGTTACCTCATCTTCTTTAGCCTTGGCATTGAGAATCGATACTAAAAAGTCTTGGCTGGCATCCTGGTATCGCTCCAGAATATCGGATACACTCAAATTAGAGTGAGACATTGGTGGTGATGGGGGTGTTGGGCGAGTAGCGCGTGAATGCAAGCTACTACTATGGAAAGTAGGGAATGCAAATGCACGCTGATGACCTTCAATCACACCTGCAGACAATGGTCCCTGGATATCCTGGTTGTGGTGATGGCCCTGGAATGTACGACTGTAGTGATAATGGTGTGGAGGCTGCAGGTGTTGATGCTGTGGACGTTGCTGTTGATGTGGTTGTGGGCGCTGGTGGTGTGGCTGTTGAGGCTGTTGATTGGGATGAAGATGATGCCTCTGAGTGCTCGGATAGGGCTGAGGCGAGTGATCACGATGATCGACCATGGTTGAAGACAGTTTTTTCTGAATGTTCTTTTTCTAATGTGATATGGCAGTAATGACCGATGCTGAACTATGAGAAATGGAAGAAGCGTAAACAGGATGAAAGAACATAGAGAATAAAGAAAGATGGAGAGCGAAAGGAGAAAAAGAAAAAAAAAAAGAGAAAAGAAAAAAAGAAAGTAAAAAGTTATTTTTATTGTTGTTTTATTTTTTTATTTTTTCAATTTGGAACGCTGAATAGATGAATGAATGCGGAGCAAATAAAGCATCGTAACCATTATGTATACCTGCTGATGCTGATGTTACTAACTGTTTCCTTGCACTGCGGCTTTCGGGAAGTGATCTCGGATATGAATGTTTGTGTGCTTTATAGGCTTCTATTGGTGTAGGTGGTCAATGCTGGAAAGAAAAAAAAAAAAAAAAAAAAAAAAAGTCTGTGAAAAAGAGAGACAGGGGCAAGTGGCAGGGACAATGTTGTAAGATCAGTCTCATGAACAATGAAATGAGAAAAACAAAGATGACAATGAAGATGGAAGGAGTTGGTGCGAAAGCACGCGGGCAAATAGGAAGCAAAGATGAAAGAGAGAAAAAGAAACGAAAACGAAAACAACAAATGAAGCTACTGTAGACTGTATTCATCTATGCATGCCTGGCATTGACATTGGCATTGGCATTGGAATATATGAGCAGCTATAGTAAATATCTTTCTGTCACACTTTTTTTTTATCCGCCCCTCACTATCTTTTCATTCCATAACGATTTGAGAGCACTCCAACCTTGTCGTTACCAGCAATAAGCAGTTCGTAGGCATTTTGAACTGTGGCATGCATCTTTTTCCGCCCCTGCTCAACCCTCTCTCTCTTATACACCCCTGGTTGCTCCTGACCTTTTTTGTGAGAGGCTATGACCTTCATTCCATCTGTGGGATACATTTCATAAACCTGAAACAGAAGATGAAAAAAATTCAGGGCATCGTTTGTCATTTATTACAAGTCCATTTGTGTTCATGTCCACAGAACGCGTCCTGCTGCATGTGGCACGTTCGTTATGCACAAAAAAGCAGGTCCTTCTCATCGCTTGCGAAAGAAAGAAGAGAGGATCCAGACTCTCTTATCCAAAACCCGAAATCTCGGATTCCCTCCATCCTGGTTATTAAGCTGAAAACCACGCAGGCTAGCAGTCGCCGCAATGATAGTATAAATAATAATATACACATAATTGAAGAGGGTGGTCAGTGGTTAATAGCCTCGTTTCTGGCTCTCCCTCAGCTGGTCACCTTTATGTTTCTCAATCAGATCGAACCCTGCTCTTATTGTTACTGGGCTAGTTTTAATCTCCTGTGCTTAATATTCTCCCCAGAAATGACAGCAGAGCTACTTGGGACATTTCCAATACAACCTTTTTTTTCAAGCTTAATTGCTTATTGCTCTCAATCTTTAAAATCAAATTCCTTTGGCGCATGTGCCAATATAAAAATGTTTGTTCCTGTAATAACACAACTCTAGCGAAGCTACACAACTCTCCATGTATAAATTTACAGCGCCGTAAAGTCATGAAGACATAATTCATGATGCACAAAAAAAAAAAGAAAATGATATCCTCATCCTTCTCCACTCTGGGTCTGGGAGAATTAAAGAAAAAGGGATGAACAATGCTCTTTTTTTTTTTGATGGCTCTCTTTCTTACTTTGCATGCATGCAAAAAATCTGAAAGATGGTCGAATTAGTTTACTTGTTTGCTTGCTTGATGGGAGCCAGGCTAAATAAACAACTAACATGAACCCTTGGGGTCGGTATTCTTTTACAGCTGTAATTGGTCAGTGGTTTACTTGCTCGAGTCTTTGAGTCCTTGTTTCCCTTGTTCATATCTTTTTTTTTTTTTTTTTTTTTTTTTTTTTTGCACATGACCAACGCACACAAATGAAGGGTGGGATAATTTAAATGCAATTAACATTTTTGGGCCCGAGAGCAATGACACGCGAATCCCATCAAGGCTCTCCCTTCCATTCATCTTATTCCTCCCTTCCTTTCTTCCTTACCTGATCTTCTCTTTTTTTTTGCTCTCTCCCTCTCTTACATTCTTACACACACACTTTTCTTACGTTGGTATTTTTCCGGATTCTCGACATCTTTTCGCTTATTTTATCCCTTCCTCCCCTATCATTCACTATATATGACATACACATCCTGATGAGGAATGAGATGATTCCCACTTTAATAAGAGGAACGTTTGTATACAGTATGGGAAGGTTGGGACTGCAGCGCATAAGGTTGTTGCAGATTGTGTGTTGCCAAGCAAACTAAGATTTTTTTTGGACAAATTAAAACGAACATTTTCGTTGTTTGTTTATGCCCAAGAATTGGGAGGGACAAACTGAAAGATGGATGGATGCAAGGGAATGCTTAGTTTAAATAGAACAAAACCTTTTTATTTCGGGCATTACAAGCAAATCAGGTTATCTTTAGGTACACCAAAAAAAAAAAAAAAAAAAAACACTGACAACTGATAGATAAAATATGTGCATTATATATAATATATTTTGTATAACGCTGTGTAGCAGAGCATGAACACCCACAGTATGGTATATATATATATACGGTGAGGTTGGAGCGCACATGGATAATGATAATTGTGAAAGCGATTTTAGACAACAGTCGAATAGTCAATAGCTGATAAGCAGAGAGAGATAAACTAGGGATCGACGCATCCTTCCTGTTCATGTTCCAAGACGATTAAGCTATTTTCTCAAGGAAATAGCAGGACAGATCTTAATCGTGCATCCAATTGAACAAAGCCATCATGGCCATTGTCACTAAAGTCCTCGCCAGAAAGTCGTTGACACATAAATCTTCAAGATTTTAAATTGGATAAAATACTTTCCACTTACAACAATCAGCCACAGTATTTTAAAATAATATTTGTTGACGACTTTCAAACGAAAACTCTATTATTACTCCCACCGATCTTGCTCTCTTCAAAGATCTTGCTCTGATCCTCTCCCCCAGCCATAGCAGCAATTTCTGATATATCATCCTCTTGCGCCCTTATACGATCATGGTTGGGAGTCAAGAGTATAGTTATGATTAAACCCATTCCTCCTATGACCGCATAAGAATAGAACGCGGCTTGGTAACCTGGCAAGAGTTGAGGGCCTCTAGCATCAGGTGCATTTCGACTATTCGCAATAACATTGGAGATGGCAACGCCCAAGGGAATGCCGACTTGAAGCGCGACATTGTAAACTTTAAAGAAGAACGAGTAAAAAAAGATCGCGTAAGCTTTATTGTTAACTGTGTTCAAAAAAAAATGTACATGTTTTCCTTTTTTTTTTTTTTTTTTTTTTGTTTTTTCATTTTTACCTGCTCCAACCAAACCTTGCTCTTCACTCTTGGCATCAGCGACAGAGTTAATCTGGCAGCAGAGCCAGACAGGTGCCATGCCCAGGAAGTTAAGGATCAAAGCTGGGAATGCGATGGACCAATAACTCGAATCAGCCTTGATCTGAGCAAAGAGAATGCCAGAAGCAATGAAGAACAACCACCCAACAACCATAATGATCTTTGTCCTCACATATGGAACCATTTTAGTCACGACCGCGATGGTAATGATTGCACCGATACCATTAACAACATAACACAACGAAGTTTTCATGGGAGAATAGCCTTGCACATTTTGGAATGTCAAGGATGTAAAAAAGATCATCGCATTGATTCCAGCTGACAAAGATACAATCGTCAAACACGAGGCTACCAGGCGTCGAGAACGCCAGATATGTAAAGGCATGATTGGATAGTCGATCTTCCATTCGATTACTACGAAGGCGGCCATGGACGCAATTCCCACACAGAGAGGCGCCAGAGTCGAGGCGGAGGACCAACCCTTAGCAGGGCTTTCACTCAAGTAGTAAATGACCGCCACAATACCAAGTGTGAACGAAGTAAGGCCCATTATATCGACACGGCGATCTTCAGCCGTGGATTCATTCTTCTCAGCAGGAATGACCAAAAAGCCAAGTACCGCGAGGATGAAACCTAGAATGGCCGTGAAGAAGAAGATCCAGTGCCAGCCTGGTAAGAAATGCAATAAAGAAGAAAGATATGTCAATATATTTAGCTTTGTAATCTGTGTGGAACTTCCATAGGTGCAAGTATTATTATTACTATTTGCTGTCTGTCTTTTTCTTACCTATGGTTGAACCAAGAACGCCTCCTAATAACACCCCGACCACAATTCCTACCGCAGCAGAGCCTCCAAAGAGCGCAAGAGCGTGAGTACGTTCAGGTCCTACAGGATATGTTGTGGTCAAGATCGCAAGAGCACTTGGGATTGTAAATCCTGCTCCCATCCCTTGTAAAGCGCGTCCTACAGACATCACAATTGGATCCTTGGCAAATCCATTAACGAGTGCCCAGATAGAGAACCAAGCAACTCCCAAGATATAAATACGGCGATGACCAAATAGGTCTCCGAGACGTCCACCGATCAAAAGGAATGCTCCATATGCCAACGCATACGCGGAGGTAACCCTTTGAGAGAACACGAAAAATTTGACGGGCTGATCAGAAACAAGCTCTCTTTTGTGGGGGATGCAGTGGGAAGGGTGAAGTTTTTCTTTTTTAAATCTTACCACTGTAATTGATCGACTCTGTAGCCAACATCTCGCATGATATCTGGTAATGTAATCGTAACACTAGCAACATTGATGATATCAAGCATCTAAAGGTTGGTGACACGAGTTCAAGGAAGTTGAGCCAATGAGCCATCAAATGGGGGTTATTTTATGAGTCTCATTGTTCATTATACGTGGTACAAAGCGTAGGGTATTAATTTTTTAATATATTGATCTGCTGTAGTTTACAATATGAGAGAGAGCAGTTTCAGGGACGAAGGAGGAGGGTATAGAGTGAGAACTTACCTGAGCCATGGACATAGTTGCTAGTAACAGTGATTTCGTTTGGTACCATGGTAGCTGAGGTTTGATGTCTGTTGTAATTATTGATGCCATTTTTTTTTTTTTTTTTTTTTTTTTTGTTGATGTTGTTGTTGTTGTTGTTGTTGTTGTTACAACTGATGCTGGTGGATTGCGATTAACGCGGATAAAGAAAGAATGAGTAAAATAAAAGTACAGCAATTTTGGATAGCCTCAGTACCTTTAAATATGTTATTGGTTCCCCTTGCCTTGTTATTCTATACCTGGTATCTTAACCTTTTTTAGTACTTTCGGACGATGTCACTCGCTTCAGGTCAGATGTCTCAGTATTGATCCCAAAGAGCAATCCTGGCATTAACCCCGCTACCGCAAGACAGAAACACTGCTTTGCAATAGGTGACATAATAATGTCACATCAAGCTGCTGTCATTGTCTTACTCAAGTTTCGGTTCCTGTTCCTAACTCCATACTCTCGCTATTGGCCGCCTCCTCTACTGACTGCTGCTTTGCCGAGCCTAAAGGTCTTTGAACACGGACTATTTGAGATCGCATAGTTCTAAATGTCGAACAGATTTAGACATCCTCCGTTTCAGTCTCAAAGCTTTAGGCAATTTAAAAAGTCAAGTATAGTAAGTAGATCAAACATCGCATCTGTATACGTATAATTGCACATGTGAAGAATACTCACTGTATAGTGCCCTACATCCAGTCGCCCTTATTTTTCAATATTTTGACGTTGTGGCAGCCACCCTGTTTACAAAAATGTTTACCTCGTTGAAAGAAACCACAAACAAGAGAAGATTTATTGTACTGAATTCATGAACAGCTTTGACTCGGTGTGTAGGAACTGGTTTTGGAACAGAAGGTGATTAAGTCGTTTTCAGGGAACAATAGTAGAAAGAAAAAATGCTTCTTTTTTGTTTACCAGAGATTGCCCTCAGATGTCTCTCTTTGCTTCGGCAGCTCTAGTACATTATCGCCAAAACAGAGACAGTCGTTGACTCACAGATTCCCGATATCAATAGGCGATAGGAGGGACGTTGTTGGTTGTGTTTATTGCTTGGAGTGGAAGGTATTTAACCGCCCTCTTCTTGCTGAGTAGGGCCTCGTTGATGGCCTTGCAAAGCGTATTGTGGATGGGCGGAGGGCGAGAGCGAGAGAGAGGGCTGGTTTTAGCAGCCATTTGGTGTGTATGTGTGTGAATTTGATAGTCGATACAAATCTACAAAATGTATGACATGCAATATGATATACTAAATGACAATACTACAATAAATAAATAAGAGTTGGATCATAGCTATAGCGGGGAAGTGAAGCAAATAACGGCGCGTTTTGAGCGTCTATCTTTGAGATTTGCTATGCCACCAAATCTGATATAGTTGAATAATAATAAAACGCAGGGCCCCAATAAGTATCTAAAGGTGGTTTGCGCTTGTTGCTCTTTGTGGTTAGACCTTTTCAAATATAAATTTGGAACTGAAAAGGTTTAGCCAAAAAGAGCTACAAGCACAACCTTCTGGAAAAAAGTACACCAATTATTTCAGACTTCACATGTTCATTTCTTCAACCAGAGACCAGGTGGAAATCTAAGTATGTCAGCCATGATTGAATTAATATAGAATAGGACGTCATACTCAGCAAATCAAAGGGTATGCATTGTATATTATAGATAGTTATATAGCGCGATGTAACAGAGTATGGACAGCCACAATGTGGCAAGGCGAAGTCGGTGCACTTGGGTAATGACAGTTGTAAAAAAGTAATTTTGGAAAATATTTGATTGTTGATAGTTGCTAAGCAAGGATTTGGATAAATTTGGGGTCGACACATTCTTGCTGTCCATCCATGCTTTAAGGTGATTAACCCGTTTTCTCATTCAAGGAACTGGCGGATGAGCCCTGAAAAATTGTGGTTGCACCAGCTGATGCAAGACCACTATTACCATTAATCTTTGCACCACTACCGATCTTGGTCTCTTCAAAGGTCTCGCTTTGATCTCTCGTTCCCACATCCTTGTTTCTAGAATGATCAATCACCTCACTACCCTCAGGTCTGAGCTGCTCCTCATCGGCTTCAGCAGACACGGAAGTAGTTTCCGTTAGATTGCCCCCTAGTGCTCTTATAGGATCACTATTGGCAGCCAAGAGGATGGTTAAGATTAGGCCTATTCCCCCCATGACGGTATAAGAGTAGAACGCAGCTTTATAACCCGGTAACAGCTGAAGGCCTCTAGCATCAGGTGCATTTCGACTATTTGCAATAACATTGGAGATGGCAACGCCCAAAGGTACACCGATTTGAAGTGCAACGTTGTAAACTTTTAAGAGGAAATGGCAAAAATAAAGAAGAGATCGCGTAAGCTTTGGTACCAATTGTACAAGCTTTTGCTTTTTTTTTTTTTGTTTGTCTGTTTGTTTCCTTTACCTGCTCCGACTACCCCTTGATCTTCATTTTTGGCATCAGCGACAGAGTTAATCTGGCAGCAGAGCCAGACAGGTGCCATGCCCAGGAAGTTAAGGATCAAAGCTGGGAATGCGATGGACCAATAACTCGAATCAGCCTTGATCTGAGCAAAGAGAATGCCAGAAGCAATAAAGACTAACCATCCAACGACCATAATGATCTTTGTCCTCACAAATGTGACTAGTTTGGTTAAGATCACGATAGTAACGATTGCACCAACTCCATGAACAATATAACACAACGACGTTTTCATGGTAGAATAACCTTGCACATTTTGGAATGTCAAGGATGAAAAAAAGATCAGCGCATTGATCGAGGCTGTCAAGGCCATAACCGTCAAACACGAGGCTACCAAGCGCTGGGAGCGCCAGATATGTAAAGGCATGATTGGATAGTCGATCTTCCACTCGAGCACTACGAAGGCAATCAGGAGCGCGATCCCTACACAGAGAGGTGGCAGCGTCGAGGCTGAGGACCAACCCTTAGCAGGGCTTTCACTCAAGTAGTAAATTACCGCCACAATACCGAATGTGAATGATAAAATACCCATTATATCGACACGGCGGTCCTCAATAGTAGATATGTCCTTCTCAGCGGGAATGACCAGAAAGCCAAGAGCTGCAAGAATGGAGCCTAGAATAGCCGTGAAGAAAAAGATCCACCGCCAACCTGACAAGAATTGTGTTAAAGAAGAAAGATATGTCAATATTAGCATATGCTTCTAGATGTGTGTGTATTTTCTGTTGTTGTCTGTTTTTTTTCTTACCGATGGTTGAACCAAGGATTCCTCCCAGTAAAACTCCAATGACGGACCCAATCGCACCGGTTCCCCCAAAGACAGCGAGGGCTTGAGTACGTTCAGGTCCTACAGGATATGTTGTGGTTAAGATCGCAAGAGCACTTGGGATTGTAAATCCTGCTCCCATCCCTTGTAAAGCGCGTCCTACAGACATCACAATTGGATCCTTGGCAAATCCATTAACGAGTGCCCAGATAGAGAACCAAGCAACTCCCAAGATATAAATACGGCGATGACCAAATAGGTCTCCGAGACGTCCACCGATCAAAAGGAATGCTCCATATGCCAACGCATACGCGGAGGTAACCCTTTGAGAGAACACGAAAAATTTGACGGGCTGATCAGAAACAAGCTCTCTTTTGTGGGGGATGCAGTGGGAAGGGTGAAGTTTTTCTTTTTTAAATCTTACCACTGTAATTGATCGACTTTGTACCCGACATCTCGCATGATATCTGGTAATGTGATTGTAACACCAGCAACATTGATGATATCAAGCATCTAATGTGGTTATATTCCGTTGACATGTAGCATAAGCACAAGCACAATAGAAAGTGTGAGCCAATGAGCCATCAGAAAGAGCGTCTTATTGCTCATTATATGTGGTACAAATTATAAGACATTGAATCTCTTGTGGTTTACAATATGGTGAAGTTGGGAGCGGAAAAGAAGGGTATGAGATAAGAACTTGCCTGAGCCATGGACATGGTCGCTAGTAATAGCGCTTTCATTTGGTTTAGTCGGCGGTACCATGGCAGCTGAGATTTGTTGTCTACTGTAGATATTGATGTCATTTATTATTATTGTTGCAACTGATGGATTTTGCTTTACAAGTGCACTCGAGAAGAAGGAAAAAAAAAAAAAAAAAAAAAAAAAAAAAAACAAAAGAAATGATGCTGAAGAGAAAGGAATGATGTTGAAATCAAAGAACAAAAATTAAATAATGCTATCTCTTTGGGTTTTTATATGTATGGCGAGAATGTACAGTGCCTGTCCATGTCCATGCACCTTGATCATAATCGCGGAAGTAAGCTGTCAAAGGATGGCTATAATGACAAACAATCGCACACGCAAGCGATCAATGGCGAGCTTTTCGTTACTTACAATCTTTTTTTTTTAGGCCGTGTCAACATGCGCATGCACCATACATTATTTCAATCGAACGCCAAATAAGGTTTTGAGATCAGCCCTGACCGCGAGAGGAAAAACAAGGGGTCTCCTACTGCCCCGATGCCTGAATTAGTTCATTTGTCACATCCTCCTAATTCAATAGTCGCACGCATCTTTAATTACCTATGGCCGAGTGTGCATCGTTACCACATGTTATTAGAGAGACACTATACCTTCCATCGTAGTCTCCCTCAAGATAAGGTAAGAGGAAGCCAGTGTTTTTTCGGGAGTCGAATAAAAAAATGGTAGGAAAAAAAAAAAAAAAAAAAAAAAACTGCGCGATGTAAAAAAGAAAAGAAAAGGAAAAATACCTTTTATTCTACGGAATAATTCCGCAGCACGGTCGGAACCAAGAGGAAAGAAGGGAATAGCATCATTGATATAATGATTATATGTTCAATATTGAAAACGAACATTACATCCATTGTGATTGGAAAGAGTGCCATGCAGTAATGCAATAGTCGCCTAAAGGGATATAACGGAATAGTTCATAGTATGAAGTTTCACATTTCCACCATCCCGGGCCTCAATTTTTTTAAGATGTCTAGATCCTGAATTGTACTCCGTCTGCGCAGCATGAATTACCACATACGCGCAATCTAAGTCGTCAACTTGATCGAAAAAGCTAAAATAAAATGCAAAAGTATATACATTGATATCCTGGAAGATACGCAGCATCCGTCATACGACACTAAGAACCTAAGCATGCCTGCTCTGGGCTTGCACAAACACAGCCGCAACCCTGACGCTGCAAAAGTAAAAAAAGCTAAAAGTATACGAACTTGCTACTCCAAGTCTAAATATTTTATTACAAGGTTTTTTCCAAAATTCAAAAAAAAGAAAGGCGTTCCTGCAATTTGTTCCGCTTGCTCTCTCTGAATCACATGTTGTTGATCCGATATTTTAGACTAAATTCTTTACAGAGATTACCAGTAGGATCCTCACTTGATATCGAGGATACTTCAATACTTTTAATCATGGTGTAAGTTCATCTGTCAAATCAAATGACCATATGTCGGGGAAGAGAGGAGAGAAGGAGAGAGGAAGCTTTCCAAGCGCGGTTCCAACTCGATCGGAAACAATCCCTTTGTTTTCTCGCAATAGTAAAAATATGTTCTGTATTGACTAGATATGATCATTTCATAACCAGCTATTGGTAAGGATTCATATATTTAATATGATTATTGGGAGAGAAAAGGAGAGAAAGGAAGATAAAGGCAGCTGCGCCAGCGTTATCATTTGAGTTGTGGGATAATTTTATACTCACTCATGGCCGTAAATATTATTAGAATAATAAGTGAACCCGATATTTGCCAAGCTCCTTACGGATGTCGACAGTAGCAAAGCAATCGCACGTACAGATCAAGAGAAGTAGAAAAAGAGCAGGATTGCAGCATCAGCCTTGATCAATTGCAGGCACATTATTAAAAGTAAAGAAGAGTGCGTAAAAGACAACGACCTTCGACTTTTTTTTTTTTTTTTGCAAGCTGGATCGATGGTATTTTTTCCTTGAAATAAAATTAAAAAACTCTTTTTTACCTATCTGATGTTATTAATTTACAAGCTAATGTCGATCCCGGAAATTATCAAAAGCACTTTTAGCTTGAACATGCAGTGCACAGTCCAATCAAGACGACTATTGTGTCACCATCACCATTTCAAAGGAAATATTTACTGTCTTCTACGATCTTTAATCATTTGCACATCCTTTCTGGTGCTCTCGCTTAAAAGATTCCTTTATTTTTATCTTCTCTTTTTATTGTAGTCTATTATAAAAATGCGGATCGGTATTCCTGCCTTGGATAATCGTGTTTTATCTTTGGTAGTGTGAATATTGGAACGCATCAAATCTTGAAGGTATGTCAAGGCCTTATTCGGTGAGAAAGACGTTTTTTTGCCTTTATTACTCGGTTAGTGGGATGTAGTGCACAATGAATACCATCCTATGCGTGGGGAAATCTGATGGGTGCATATTCTTTAACTCTGCTACGCTTCAGCCACTCAAAAACGCGTTTAATAATTGAAATGAACATGAGCGGAGAGGAGTAAGTTTCAGAAAATATGCAGAACAGTCTGATTCAATTTCCCATTTTCCATCATCTCTGTTTTACTTCTAAACCATCTTTTCTTTTTCATTTCCCTATTCTCAACCCTCATCATCCATCCCATCCATCCATCCATCCTTCTCTCCTTCTCTCACTTTCTTATCCATTCAAGCACACTTTCTCTTTCTCTTTCAATTTCCCTGTTGGAAATCCTTTTTTTTCTGTGTCATCAATTGCTGACGTGAAAAAAGACAACCTTGCAACGGTCAATCTCTTTACATTCATCGTCGCTTCATATCCAATCTTCTATTACTGTCTTGGAAAAGAGACCCAATTATTCTAGTTCAACATGGCTATGCGTGGATTAACTGTCTTCATCGCGGACATTCGCAATTGTAAGTCATACAACAGTGATGACTTCCCAGCTTGAATTGAGTCAGGAACATATACATTTATACACATGGAAGGATGTTAAGTGGTCGCCATGCCATTGCACCAACTAAAAGACGATAATAACCATCTCTCTCTTACACATTCTCTCTCGTACCCTTTTTCTCTTTCTCTTTCTCGACCCGCTATCTGTGTGAATAGGCCGTGTCCGCGAACTCGAGGAAAAGAGAATCAATAAAGAGATGGCCAACATCCGCCAAAAGTTTAAAGGTATATATATATTCCTTTACTTCTTCCTTTTGTTTTTGTCTTGAAACTAGGTATATCGCTGACCATTGTCTATCTGGCTCTGTTTCCTTTGTCCAATTGTCATTGTTGTGCGATAATAGATGGCAACCTGAGCGGCTATGACAAAAAGAAATATGTTTGCAAGCTGTTGTACATGTATATCCTAGGATGGGATATTGACTTTGGACACATGGAAGCAGTCAACCTCATCTCAAGTACAAAGTACAGTGAAAAGCAGATTGTAAGCCTCGGACATCATTTTGCAGGATCATCTTTCGTTTCTCGACTCTTTAGTTTTTGTATATTCTAATCACAGAGGGTGAAAAAAAAAAAAAAAAAAAAAAAAATGCTGTCTTCATTCTTTTCGTCAAGTCCTATTTGCTAACTGTCAATCGACCGTTTCTGTTTTAATAGGGATATCTCGGGATAACACTATTGATGCATGAGAATAGTGATCTGGTCCGCTTAGTGGTCAATTCTATTCGAAAGGACCTGGATGATAACAATGAGATTCACAACTGCTTAGCCCTGCATGCTATTGCCAACATTGGAGGCCGAGAGATGGCCGAGTCGCTAGCAGGCGATGTCCATCGTCTTCTAGTGTCGCCGTAAGTAACTAATCAATGGATCAACATCAGAGCATGTTAGAAGCATATAAAAAACCATTTGTTATCAAAGGGAAATCTTTGGCTCTGATCTTCCACGGTGCTCACATTTATATATATATATATATATATATTTCGCCTCCCACATTTTATCCTATTTTTAATTTGTCTTAATGGACGATTAAAAGTAACTCCAAGAGTTTTGTTAAAAAGAAGGCTGCATTGACAATGCTCCGCCTCTTCAGAAAACATCCTGATGTCATTCCGGCGCCTGATTGGGCTGAACGTATTACGAATATCATTGACGACTATGATCTTGGCGTGTGCCTTTCCGTGGCCAGTCTTATTACGGCACTTGCACAACAATACCCTGAATCTTTCATGATGGCTGTTCCAAAGGCTATCATGCGGCTTCACAAGGTAGGCCTTTGATAACCAAGACTGTTTGGGAGTGCTTAGTTAACGCAAAGAGAAAAATAGATAATCTTTGTCTGACAATAATTTCCATTTACTTCAACTATAGGTCATCGTGGAAAGAGATTTTTCAGCAGACTATGTATATTACAAGATCCCAATCCCATGGCTCCAAGTCAAGCTTCTTCGTCTCTTGCAATATTTCCCTCCAACAGGTTCGTGCCCAAAGAATAGATCTGAGATCGGTGAAATAATGAATGATAAATAGCTATACTTACTTTTTTTTTTCTTTAACTTCTGCCATTCAGAGGATCCCAACATGGCTGAAATGCTTCATAACGTCCTTCAAACCATCATCAACAACTCGCAAGAGACACCCAGAAACGTTCAGCATAATAACGCACAGAATGCTATTCTATTCGAAGCAATTAATCTGGCAATTCATTTGGACTGCGAATCTGACATTGTTCGCCAGGCGACCAACATTCTTGCACGCTTCATCTTGTCGAAGGAGACCAACGTCCGTTATCTTGGATTGGAAACCATGGCCCATTTGGCGGCAGTGACGGATGAACTAGATGAGATCAAGAAGCATGAGGAGACCATTATTTTATCTTTGCGGGACAAGGATATCAGCGTTCGCCGTCGTGGCCTGGATTTGCTTTATAGTATGTGCGATGTTTCAAATGCCAAGACGATCGTGTCAGAATTGATCCGATATCTCCATATTGCAGATTACGCACTTCGTGAGGAGATGGTACTCAAGATTGCCATCATGACAGAAAAATATGCCACAGAGCACTCATGGTATGTGGACGTCATCCTGCAGCTTATCAGCTCTGCTGGAGATCATGTAGGAGAGGAAGTCTGGTACAGAGTTGTTCAAATTGTCACCAACCACGAAAACCTGCAAGAGTATGCTGCCAAAATGGTATTGCATTATATGAGCTCGCCACACTGTCACGAGAATATGCTTAAGGTTGGAGGTTATATCTTGGGAGAATACGGACATTTAATTGCTAATATCCCAGGAGCATCACCAATCGAACAATTCAACACGCTTCATGCTCGATTCGGACTGTGCTCGCTAGGAACCCGGGCATTATTGCTTTCAACATATATCAAGTTTGTCAACTTGTTCCCAGAAATTAAGGGCGCTATTTTGGCAGTCTTTAACCAATACCGCCATGTTCTGGATGCAGAGCTGCAGCAGCGTGCGTGTGAATACATGGCCATTGCTACCATGCCCACAGATGATCTCCTTCAGACGGTCTGTGAGGAAATGCCACAATTCCCAGAACGTGAGTCTGCATTGCTCTCTCGACTCAATGAGAAGACTAACCAGACCGAAGACAAGAGAACTTGGAACATTGGTGGCAAGGATTCGAACGAGAAGACCCCCGCAAACTTAATTGCTGCTAGCAGAGAAAAGAACGAGAGCACATCTGTGGATGACCTAGTGTCAGGGATGAACAATACTAATATTAGCTCTTCTGCTGGTACTAAGGATGAGGAAGGAAAACCGACCGCCAATGGATCATCAAACCCCGCCTCACAGACAAATGCAGCCTCAAAGCCTGGATTGGCTTGGAAGGATCAATTGGCTCCTGGATATGAAATCTGGTACAACCGTCTACGGGATGGTGCTGATGGCGTATTGTACGAGGACAGCATTCTGCAGATTGGTGTCAAGTCTGAATATCATGGGCATTTGGGCCGTCTGGCCATGTACTTTGGCAATAAGACACATACTCAACTCAACTCCTTCTCAGTTACGGTGGAGGCACCAGAAGGTCTAGTTATCGCCAGCTCACATACACTGGCTACTTCAATTGGACCCTCGACTCAAATTCAGCAGCTCTACAGCTTGGAGTGCCAGCAGATCGTTACAGAGGTACCACTCATCCGTATCTCGTATCAAGCAGGCTCCATTCAGAGTATTTACCTCAAGTTGCCTGTTACACTTTCGCGATTTATTGAGCCTATCCAACTCTCCAGCGCAGACTTTTTTGCACGCTGGAAACAAATTGGTGGCTCACCACGAGAGGTACAAGTTGTTTTCAAATCGTCTGAGAAGATCAATCTGGAAAAGGCCCGTTCTATCATTGTTAGCAATCGGTTAGGTGTTTGTGACAATGTCGATCCTAAGCCCGGCAATTTTGTTGCCACTGGCGTCTACAACACTTCGCTGAGTGGCAAAGTCGGATGTCTTGTGCGTCTAGAACCTAATCGCGAGACAGATGTAAGTTGATAAATAACCTTTTTGAACATTTTTCCCAATTTTTTATTTTAACTTCACTATATGGATATACACCTCGTCTTACATCTTTGTTATTATTATTATCATTACTAGATGTATCGTCTGACAGTCAGAACGACCTCAGATATTGTGTCCAAGCAGTTGAAAGAGCTTTTACAATTAGCTCTGCTATAAAAAAAAAAAAAAAAAAAAAAAAAAAAAGAAGCACCTTCCTATTCATACATTTAATAAGGCATCAAATTATTGTAAACAAAAATAAATAAAATAAATATGCACATGCAATAGATTCAAAAGAAATGTATACTTGTTTGACAAGCGTAACCACTATGACTTTTCTTTTGTACAAGTCCTTTTTTAAGGCACAAGCTTATTTTTGTGTGGATTGATATAAAATGTCATTAATAGGCAATGTTCCATTGGCTTCACGTACAGACACAGACACAGAGGCTGGCTCCTTTTGTTCTATTACATGTGTGTGTGTTTTTTTTTTTTTTTTTTTTTTTTTTTTTTGATCCTATCATCGTAATAGCTGGGAATGTCCGGACTTCAATTACCATTACGAGAACCCTTTCTCCTTTATGGCTCAAACCCAATCCAGTTCTAAGGACTTTGCCGTTTTGATTGGCTTGACATATCCTTGCTGCTTATTGCGATGTTAATATTTATTTTGGCCTTCTTTTAATACATTTTAATTTAACCTCTAGGCTTAACCAACAGACCACCGTCGACAGGAATGATGGCTCCAGTAGTGTATGCCCCAGCTCTGGAAGCCAAATAGATAGCGGTAGCAGCTAAATCCTCTGGTTGGCCAATCCTTCCCAAGGGAATACCGCGTACAATCTCATCCTTTGAATTTTGCAGGGTCGCTGCCATCATCTTACTCTCGAACGGCCCTGGAGCAATAGCATTCACAGTGATATGTTTAGAGCCCAAATGGCCCGCCATGACCTTTGTCATTTGATGCAATGCAGCCTTGGAAGCCGAATAAGCATAAGTCTCCTGTATAGGGTTACGAACTCCATCCACAGACCCAATATTGATTACAGAGGCTGGATGGGTCTCCGTCGCAGTAGCTAATAAAAGTGGGAGCATGGCTTGAGTCAATGAGAAGACTCGCTTGAGATTGAGGTTTATGACCTTTTCGAACGCGCTGTCCGGATAAGACTCGATAGGAGCTGCCCACTTTTTTTTTTATTAATAATAATAATAAAAAGAAAGAGAATTAGGTTGAGATCAGGATACGAAGGACATCTATATCAACGCTATAAGCCAAACTTACGTTGGCCCCAGCATTGTTGACAAGGACATGAACCTCTAGAGACAAGTCAAATCGTAAAACAGTAAAGCAGATATATATTATTTATATGGTCCTGGATAAAAAAAAAATAAAAAAAAAATAAAAAAAAAATAAAAAAAAAATAAAAAATAAACCTAGTTTCCTTACTTAATTCTCGTTTTGAAATTTCTCTAACCAAATGTTGGACTTCCTGCAAGCTCTGAAGATCCGCTGGAATGGAGAAACATTGACCCGGTCCCAACTTCATCAAGTCTTCCGCAACCTTATCACAGTCCTTAGCGGTACGAGCAGAGATATATACCTTGGCTCCATTCGCAACGAATCCATGCGCGATCATTAAGCCAATTCTAATGATGTAATGCACATAATGAATAAATGGACATTTATAAATATTATCAATCATATCACCATATCATCATATCACCATACCATCATATCGTGTGAAGGGAAAAGGGTGGAGAGCGTAATCAGTCAGTTCTAAGGCTGTCAATGATTTTTTCCCTCATTTTGAATATCCCTTCACTTACCCACGGCTTCCGCCAGTGACGAGAACGACTTTGTCCTTGACATTAAAGAGGGAAGGAATATGCATGGATGAAGATGGTGGCATATTTTTTTATTATTATTATTATTATTATTATTATTTTAGTATTTTGTTACAGATTTATTGTACTTGAAGATTCTTGTATGGAAGGATTTGGGTTATAGGAAAGATGAGAAAAAGAAAGAGAGAGTGATTTCCAGAAAGTGTGGAGAGATTTATAGGGAAATTTAAAGGTTTAGGTTTTTCTCATCGGATCTCCAACGGCCATTACCTCTCTCCGTGACCACCAATCACCTGCAGTCCCAATTTTTCATATACTGCGCATTGAATAGCCCAATGAACGATGGAGCCGCACGATTTACGATCAATTCTTGTAAAGCGCGCTCATCATACAAAGTATATAACAAGGAATATGTATTTCATCTTTACAATTTTATTGTTTTCTTTGTACAATGGGCATATTAAAGTTTTCAAAAAAACGTATTCTTTTGATTAGCACTGGCATCCCTTCTTCTCGCCAGGGCGAGGTGCATTGACCAAAGGTGCGGCATACTTGTGCCAGTATGCAGGGGGGTCGTAAGACTTCTGGGCGGCATTGACGGTGGCGAAGTAAGCAGGATAAATGTTTCCATCATATTTGCCAATAGGTGCCTTGAGAACAAAGTCTGGAATTGTCCAAGCATCCACAAGGGGCACTGCATCCTTACGGAGATCCTTGCATTGATCCAAGAACAATTGACGAACAAGCTTAGCATGCGATCCATCAAAGTAGCTTTCCTCCAAGAACAGATCCAAGTGCTTGCGGATAGCAAACGTGCTCATCAATTGTCCCATCTTGCGGAGCATAGGGTATACGGACTTGTTCTTCTCGCGATCAATACCACGCTGGTACAAAATCAAGAAGTATCTCCATGCATGCACATCTGCTAGGCGAACTAGCTCGACTTGGTTAGCATTCCATGCTTGGTCAAAATTGGCCTTGCCTGCCTCTGTCAGTTTTTCCGCCAACTCAGTTGCCTTCTTAGCGCAGGCCCATGTCAAGACGTCAATCACAAACTCATGGTTCAAGAGATCACGGGGATCTTGGAGCGTGGTCTTGTTGTGCGACAAGATCTTCTTGTACTCGTTGAAGTAGCTGACAGATCCAACGACCTCCTGTCCCTCTTGAGCCCACTTCAAGGTTGTGATCAAGTAACGGGCCGATTGCTGCATCAACACAACGTTATCTCCGCCTCCAGTTGTCACTACTCCGTAGTCACCGATCAATCCGGCGATCGAGTTGTAGGCAGAGTAAGCATGTCCACCACAGGCACGACGGCAGGACTCAAGCACTTCAGTCACATACCATGCAAGAGTACCCTTGAATCCTGCGGAGACTCCGTGTTGATCTGGGATCTCACGCATGAATGCACCGGCATCTGTCTGTGCATACTCTGCAACTTGATCCCACTTGTCGAACAACTCACGGTCCACAATGTTTAGCATGTAGATGAAGCTGACTCCGGGCATCAAGCTAGTGTAGTGAGTCTGGTAATCCAGAATCTGCTCATCGTGGTTACCCTGACGACGAACAGCTCCATAGCGGATGGCGATCGTCAAGGACTGAGCCAACACAACTTGAGAGCCGGTGAGGATGGTAAAACGCTCAGGAATCAAAGTGGCATAGGACAGGACAGGATTGGGCGAGGGGGTGAACTCGCCCTCGGGGCTCATGGAAGCCCACTTCATCAACATGTTCTCACGAGGGATGCGAACCTGAGTGAACTGAATCCAACCATTGTCAAGACCCTGGCGAGATGATTTGTGGCCGATATCACCACAGGTGACACCAGGCAAGAGACGGCCAGTCTTGGGGTCACGAAGGGGAACAATGAACCAGTTGATGCCATGGTTCTCTCCATCGACAATAGTCTGGCAAATGGCAACTGTGTAACAAAAGGGATGTGGAAAAATATGATGTTCACCATCAGGATTTATGATAAATATTTAAATAGTCTCAGATGTCACTTTAAACAACAAAACCCCTCCCCTTACTTATTATTGGGTTTTTGGGACAATTGCGCTTCCCCACTCGCAGATCACAATATTTCACAACCCAAAAGAGAAGACCCGCATGCAGTACGTAACACAGCATTACTAGACGACAAAGTATTCTTACCAGTGTGTGTAGCAGTCTCTCCTGACATTCCGATCCACCATTTGGTGGCGGTCAAAGTCGGAGAGTGGATCACAAACTCGTTAGTGGCACGATCATATGTCGAAGTCGTCTCCAATCCACGCAAATTGGAAGAATGTCCCAACTCAGTCTAGTTTTTTAAACACAGAAAGACAATTCCATCCTTACAACGTCAATAATAGAAGAAAAGGAATTACAAACATCATCCAGTTTCAGTCATACGGAAATTAAAAATGGATAGTTTTTTTTTTTTTTTTACCATTGCGAAACATCCGATAACTCTCCAGTTCTCGATGTCATCCATCCATTTGTCCTGCTGCTCAGCAGTTCCAAAGAGCAACAAGGCTTGCTTGAACAACATGTCGTGGACATACATCCTCATCGAGTACGACTCGGAATAGAAAGCCATAGCCATGAATAAGGCCTGGCGGAGACGAGGATCCTTGATAGTTTTCTTCAACTCGACTGTACGAGCAATCTGACGCATCGTCTGCTCACGATCCTCAGCTCTAGTCAAATCGTAGTGGTGGCCGTCACGCATGCGGAGATCAGGGTCGCGTTGAACCATTTGGAAAGCAACGGCCTGTTACGAATATAAGCATAGATAGGGGAAGGGGAAGCATGAGTGTGAATAAAAGAATTACAATATGTACTTTTGAATTTGGATGCACTGCTGCTATCTCAATGTAAAATCAACGATACATACAACAGCTTCAGCGTTCTCCTTGCCACGAAGAAGGACCTCGGTCATATCCTCAACCTTGAATGAAGCATTAGCACGCTCGCGGGCCAGATCAGCAGGACCAGTTGGCTTGTCATTATGGATAGCATAGCGCTGGAAGCAAGGCTGGATAGCGAGATGATTTTGGACAGCGGCAAGACGGGCTACAGCCGAGGATGAAGAATTTTGCTCCATTTTCTTTTTTTTTTAATGTCAACGAAATAAAGTCAAAGTGTAACAGAGCAATGGAGTCAAATGATCAGGAGAGCTGATGAAACGATTGAACGAATGGAGCGGAGAATGCGTGAACCGATTAGTTTGCAAAAAAAATAAAATAAAATATAAAAATAAAATAAAAAAGTAAGAAGGATAAGGTAAGAAAAAGAAAAGGGATCATTTGGAGAGCGCTTTTATAACTGTTACTTTTCAGATCTGCCTTATTGCCCCATAGCATGAAAGACAGGAGGGAATAGCATAAATATGGAATACAGAACCCCATCCATCCTGTTTGTCTGTCACTCGCCTTCCGAGAAGTGTCACTTTGGGCGCCCACTGAAGCGAGAATAACAAGAATAAAGTAAAAGCGGGGGAACCACAATCTTTCAAATCTTTTAGACCAAAGAAAATACCTAGATGGAGGGGCGGGCCCATGAAAGCTCTTTACTGCTTCATAGCATATGAACATACACCGGGTATGATTTCTTGACATGGTGTGTGGAACAGTTCAAAGACACGAACTTTCGGCACAAAAAACCAAAAAAAAAAAAAAAAAAAAAAACATTGTCACTTTCCTACAATCTGAGGTAGACCAGTCTTCAATTGTTAAGACCCTTAAAATAAAACCTTGTCTCACATGTCAAAACTTCCTTGACCATAAAAAAGCTTTGCTTCAAAAAAGGCGACAGCTTCCCCTCATTCCTACCGAAAGGCTTTTTCTCCACATGTGGGTTAAGGAAAGGAGCCCATTATCTACCTCCGCTTGATTCTTTTTCTTTTATTGCCTCTGAACAAATTTTGTTCAGTCAAAGCGTCTTTATGAAAACGTGCAAAAAAAAAAAAAAAAAAAAAACGCGTAAACAATCGAGTCATACCCAAACAAGCTAATCCGTACCACATGTCCCGATTTCAGATCTCAAATAAAACCATCCATCACACCGGCATCATACACATCATCCATTTAACATTAATATTAACAGGTTCTGCGTAAATGTTTAAAAAGTGTATGTTATTTCCGTAAGCCTGTATAGATTGTATGGCAAACAAAATCATTGTTTGAACAAAAAAAAAAGAGTAGGGTAGAATCGTGTCGAACATGGCAAAAAAAAAAGTGGAGAGGAGTATATGTTTTTAAGCTTAAGAGATGAGAGAAAGGAGTTTATATATCAAGAGACGATGATTTAGTTGCCACCAGAGATCTCAGCGGCAATCTTGGCAGCCTTGGCAGTGGCGTCCTCAATATCACCGACCATGTAGAAGGCAGCCTCGGGAAGGTGGTCATGCTTGCCCTCAAGGACTTCCTTGAAGGAACGGATGGTGTCCTCAAGCTTGACAAGGCGACCCTCGGAACCAGTGAAGACCTGGGCGACAGTGAAGGGCTGGGACAAGAACTTCTGGATCTTACGGGCACGCTCGACAGTCAACTTGTCCTCCTCAGACAACTCGTCCATACCCAAAATAGCAATGATATCCTGGAGGGACTTGTAAGACTGAAGGATCTGCTGGGTCTTTGAGGCAGTCTCGTAATGCTCCTCGCCGACAATACGGGGGTCCAACATGCGGGACTTAGAGTCAAGAGGGTCGACAGCGGGGTAAATACCCAATTCAGAGATACCACGGGACAAGACAGTGGTGGCGTCCAAGTGAGCGAAGGTAGTGGCAGGAGCAGGATCGGTCAAATCGTCAGCGGGCACATAGACGGCCTGGACAGAGGTAATTGAACCCTTCTTGGTGGTGGTAATACGTTCCTGCATTCCTCCCATATCAGTGGAAAGAGTGGGCTGGTAACCGACAGCAGAGGGAATACGACCCAACAAGGCAGACACCTCAGAACCAGCCTGAGTGAAACGGAAAATGTTGTCAATGAAGAGCAACACATCCTGACCCTCCTGATCACGGAAATACTCAGCAATGGTCAAACCAGTCAAGGCGACACGGGCACGAGCACCTGGGGGCTCGTTCATCTGACCGAACACAAGAGCAGCCTTAGATTCACCATCCAACTTGATGACACCGGTTTCCATCATCTCGTGGTACAAATCGTTACCCTCACGAGTACGCTCTCCGACACCAGCGAAGACAGAGTAACCTCCGTGATGCTTGGCAATGTTGTTAATCAATTCCTGAATGAACACAGTCTTTCCGACACCAGCACCTCCGAAGAGACCAATCTTACCACCACGGGCATAGGGGGCGAGCAAGTCGACGACCTTGATACCAGTGACGAGAACCTCGGGAACGACGGACTGGTCAACGAATTCGGGAGCTTCGCAGTGAATGGGGGCGGACTGTTTAGCGTTGATGGGGCCACGCTCATCAATGGGCTCACCAATAACGTTGATGATACGACCCAAGCACTCAGGACCTACTGGAATAGTAATGGGGGCACCAGTATCCTCGACGGGCTGACCACGGACCAAACCCTCAGTACCGTCCATGGCAATAGTACGGACAGTGTTCTCTCCCAAGTGCTGAGCGACCTCAAGAACCAAACGGCGGTCCAGGTTCTTGACTTCAAGAGCATTGAGAATAGAAGGGAGCTTGCCCTGGTCGAACTGAACGTCGACGACGGCACCAATAACGGAGCGAATCTGACCAGAGGACTTGGCCTCAGAGGCATAGCCAGCTAATAGGTGATAGAGTCAAATGGATATATATTATTAGTACGAGGATCAAAGTCAAAAAATTAGTCAAAGACCCGTCTAAAAAGGATTGTAATCCAAAAAGAGAGCTGGAATAGGAAAATCACAGTAGATATCAATTGACCAGATCCTTCGAGTCGGCCAATCTAGGGTCGACTCATAGACAGGCTAATGATCAAACTTGATGTTTAATATCACTTGCTGATGGAGTCATGATCAATGACAATGTCGAAAACTGATCCGCATGATTGCGTAGACATCCAGATCTAGACACGATCAGTGTCGTCCCAGGAAGGAGGCTCAATAAATAAAAAATAATAAAAATATAAACACCGCTTCCGATTCAAGCGATCCATTTCTCATCGGGAGTAAAATCGGGACCATGAGAACAAGGACGACAATCACAATAATCATCATTGCTGTGAGATTGTCTTATTCGCAACCTACACAGCTGTATTCTGGCTCATTAAATGATTGATTGTCGATGTTGTTTGTAATTCAGGGGAATAGGTGGGAATGTAACAGAAACAGAAATAGATGGCGAAAAGAATGTTGGAAGATATGAACAAACATATCATCAAATGCCGTTGACATGGTATGATTCGATTCTTTGATCGAGAAGTGAGATGCCATTGTTGTTGGATGCCAAAAGAGTAATATAACAAGATTGAAGAAAATGTAATATCTTTGCCGTGGCGTGTTTTTATTTCTTTCGCTTCATTTGTTTGTAGGGATGATCATGTCGATTCCTTACCCTTCTTCATGAAGGCGGCGTTGAAGGCCTTAGGGGCAGTCTTGATGGCAGCAGCGCTCCTTGAGAGACGCGAGATGTTACGAAGGGCGTACATGGCTAATCCACAAGAAAGAAGAGGATGAGGGGAGAGGGGAAGAAGATGGATTAGTTTCGAAAACAAGCGGAAGCCTCGCGGTTATTGTCTCTCGCTCTGTTTGCGCTGGACCAGCGATTTTTTCCTTTCTTTCCCAGAAACATACAAGCCGCTCGAAAATAAAAATAAAACAATCTTGCAAATGTGTTTCTAAACGTCATGTCCAACTTTATTTCCTGACCAATTTATTTTGTGTCTCTACTACAGACGCGTCTTTCTTTTCAACTCTCACTGCCCGTGATTACCCTAACAAAAGTAACAAGAGAGCCCCTTCGAGAGGCTGTCCGAAGTGATTAATCATATCGATCGTGCTTTGGGTCTACTCGGGCTAGATGTGCCCGAAATCAGCATTGCATTTGGCATCGAAGCCGGTGTGTATCCTTGCTGCCAAATACTTGTGCTTACAAGGCACTCTCTGCTTGTCATGGCCACAACAGGACAATGGTGTAGCCTTTACCCACAGCATTAGCGTGCCCTTTCTAGGTGCAATATAATATGAGCCATCAACTAAAAGGGTAGTAAGCGCTAAAATATCTCTCGTGACTGCAGGACATCTGCACCGACAGACCTGTGATAGGCTATTGGCCATTTCTATGAGTGCCTAGCATCCGCAGTTGTATTTGGCGACTAATCAAGCCTCCACGGACTGGATAACCTTGGCTAAGACTTGCTTTGCTATAAGTCGATAGTAGACAATCTAAGTTCCCCTTGTTGAATTGTAAAGATTAAGGATTTTTTTCTGAAGCGATCTCCCATTGAAACGCAGCTTGCTCCTTGCTCCAAAATATCCTAAACGCGTGCTGAGTGAGGGCCTTACAAAGGGCTGGAGGAGCCTTCTGAAAGTGGAAAAGCATCCTCAAGAGTCATTAGGTTGATGCCTAGAGAATATGTGAGCGCGTCCCTCTCACAGATTTATAAAGCTAAAAATGGATTAGCATTATCTTTGGTTTTTTGATGTTTAGGAAGAATGTTCTTAGAAGACCACATCGATTGTGGTCTTGATAAAATTATCTGAAAGCTCAGCGCCTTCAAAGGAAAGCAGACAATCAAAAATACCAAAATAAATAGATTGCCAGGTTCAATATCCCAAGATAACGGAGACAGTTGTCCAGAAAGGAATTAAAATAAATGTTCAACATTCTTTGATTTCTTTCTCCTCTTTAAATCACGCGAGCTTTAATTAGTGCTTTCTGTGTTTAAAAAATGAAACTATATTACAAGTCAGAGTATATTTCTTCTAGGTTCTCAAGCGGTTGGCAATCTCCTGCTTGCGAGACTCAATATGTGCACGCTCTTCCTCCTTGTTAGCATCATAGGCGACGATATTAGTCTGATTGAAGGGATTCTCCGGTGATTTCTGGAACTGCTTGTAAAGCATATCATGCATCTGTTGCTGCCTCAATCCTGGGTGCTCCTGCTTCAAAATAGGCAGCTCACGTTCCAGGTAGGCGGCAAATGCAGCCTAGAAAAAAAAAAAAAAAAAAAAAAAAAAGTCAGTTGCTGAAAAAGCTGAAGTGTTTGAATCCGTCGTTTGTAAACGATGTAAATACCTTGAAGCGACGCTCTGGATGACGATCAACTTCCTTGCCCTTGCCGGTTGTGGTAGGAGCCTGTCCTGAACCACCAGTTGAGGAACCAGTGAGTGTCAAGAGATCAAGAGCATCATCAATATTGGAAGCAGAGAATTCCTCGACAGGCTTGACCTGATTTGAGAAAGCCTCAACCTTTTGAGTCTTCTTGGCGGCTTTTTTCTATTTTAGTCAAGAGAATTGTGTTAAAAAGACATGTTTAATTTTTTTTTTTTTTCGATCTGATAAGAAATGACGTACCTCCTCTCCCTTAAGAGCCCTCGAGGGTTTGCTCTTGATGCTGCTTTCTTCCTCTTCAAGAGCACGTTGTGCCTCGCGTTTCTTAGCCAGTTGCTCTTGCTAGATGATGAATCCAAGTTAAATAAAAAGGAAAGAAAAGCAGAAAAAAAGGAATAGTCAATGATCAAATACAAATACAAAGAGCGACCAAAGTGATCTGCCGCAGCAAGATTGTGAAATAAAAAAAAAATGAGGTGCACTGCCAATGTTTCTCATACTCTCTTTTGTTCCTCAAGCTCCTTCTTGTTGCCCTTAGCACCCTTGGACCAATCAGCAGCTTCAACAGCTTCCTGTTCAACGGCCTTCTTGGCTGCCTTCGCATTAGCAGCAGCAGCCTTGCGCTCATTGGCAGCCACAACTGTAAGGAGAGAAAAAAAAAAAAAAAAAAAAAGATGCCATGGTTTAGCTGCCTTTTTTCAAAAAAAAAAAAAAAAACGAGGACAAGATCAACAGAAGATTGGAAATGAGAAATCCGATGTGTTAAAGTCATGGAAACGGACTCGTTCATACCCTTGCTATTCTCTTTCTTGGGTGGCATGTTATTTTTATTTAGAGTTGTGCGAAATGCGAAATGAGAATTGAGAAGATAATGAACAAATACAAAAAAATAAGATCGTCCAATTTGAGCATCGTGGAATGACATTCCAAAGCCACCGCAAGAGTCTGATACTAAACTGTATATATTTATACAGATAAATGTTTGATCTGTCTTCACCACCATCCACATATCTTAATAGATGGCGCATACCACAATGAAAAACAGTTGCTACAATCAACAACGCGTTTTCTGTAGATCATTCTTTTACTATGTGCTCAACTTATACGCAATCCAAGAAAATGATATTCGTTGGTGCACCTGAAGGAGCAAAAAAGATCCTTTACTTCTCTTTTGTTTGAAATAGCATTTAGATAATATTAATTGAAGAATTAAAAAAAAAGCAAATGGGGAAAAATGACAGTAGTCAGACCGTAAAACATGCCACTCTTTATTTTCTTGCCAGCAATATCACAGCTCTAACCTATTTTGTCAAACACCTTCGGTTGCTTAACTGTATATTGAAAAAATAAATAAGATAAACCCTTCTGTAGATCTAAAAAAGTGAGCATGAATATAATGGCTGTATATAAAGTACAACCACAGCAGGGTACTCTGCTACACCAAAGTTCAACAGGTTAGTAAAAAGGAATCATGAATGCCAAGTGATGAGAAAACATGTCGTTGTAGTTTGTAGTTTGTAATTTGAATTGCGACGGGGGGTTTAGGCTTAAGGGTACTGTGCGACTAAAATCAAAAATTTAATTCAAAAAAAAGCTCCAGGGCTCGAATATCTTTATTGGCGTAGTGAGCGTTGATTAAAACTTCCTCTTTGCTTTAATCTTTACGAAAATGGTTAGCAGTCACTTTGAAGATGAATGCGAGGGGAAAGAGATATGGTTTACATCCAAAGAAATATCCAAGAAGTAAAAGGGAACATGGCAACCAATCCATCGATCTATACATCATCATCAACAGCGCTACTTCATGGAATTTATGGATCAACATATTACATATTATCAGGATCATCCATTTTTATTTTTTTTATTTTTATTTTTTTTTACTTAAGGAAGTAAAGACTTTCGAGTATTCGAGAGTGAATGACTATCTAGAATGAACTCGGAATAAACGAAACCTCAGTCCAAATCCAAATACACAAGGAGAAGTGGAGACGGATGCTGCGTTGTGAACTCTACTGTTGAGCGCACTATCTCACAACCCATCAACAAAGTAATACTTCATCATCTGCGGTTTGATGCTGCTTACAGGACAACTTGGACTATAATCATCAATCCAAGCTTTTTACTAAACAATGATCAACTTAAGGCTACAAAAATGCCCTTTTTTTTCTGGAGATGAAGAGATGGCATTTATTCTGTTTTTGGGCAACTCATGGCGAACTTATGATTCTGTAATACTAATCAGGCTGATATCTTTTTTGGGTATAAAAAAACAATAAAAAATAGGGTATTGACATCAAGAAGCACCACGTTCGCAACAAGAACCGTCAGGCTCCCAAGTCTGAGGATGTCTACCTGTTGTTGCTTGTCAAGGTAAATACATCATGGAATCATAGGAGCCTTATCCACTTATCATGAAAAACCGTTGGAACCAGAGAAAAAAGGAAGGCAATTAGGAATGATCGGGAACAAACTGAATAATGGATGACGCACTAAGGACATGGTTCAACGGCAAAGATAAAGCTTAAAGAATGCTTTTCATTTCCAGCAGGCACCAAACCTTCCAGGGAAAAATAGAGAGAAGTCGCATTATAAAAGAAATTTAGCTATCTTTTCGCCACAAAGAGCTATCAACTATTTCAGATCCGTCTATCCTGTGTATTTCAACAAAAAAAAAAAAAAAAAAAAAAATCGCTGGAGTCAATTAGTATTTTTTTTTTTTTTTTTTTTTTGCTCAACTACCACTAAGAAGGGAAGTAATATTCTTCTTTTGAAGGGATGACAGGAAACAGGAATAACAGCGTACTTCTCCACTCTTTATGGTATTAAGAGTGTAATGAAGCTAAATTTTTAATACTTGAAGTGGACATCAAAACAAAACAAGAAAATTCAGTGTTACATTTGTAACAAATCATAGCAATCACTCGGAAAGAAACAGTAGAGCAACCAAACAAATACAATATACCTGAAAAAACACGCAGTTTTTTTAACAATTGCTTTCCTTTATCCATATCTGTCTCTAATGGCGCTGTCACTGTTAAAACAAATGTTCATATTTATATTACAGCTCTACAGGTTCCTCGCTCGCCGCACGGACTCTTCCTTCAACAAGGTGGTCTTGAAGCGTCTCTTTATGTCACGTGTGAACCGCCCTCCCATGTCCATCTCCCGTATTGCACGCAACATGGCTGGCAAGCAGGGCAAGACTGCCGTCATTGTTGGCTCGGTCACCGATGACATTCGCTTTCTTGAGGTCCCCAAGTTGTCGATCGCTTGCTTGCGTATCACCAAGTCAGCCAAGGCCCGTGTCTTGAAGGCTGGCGGTGAGGTCATTACCTTGGACCAGCTTGCTCTCCGTGCCCCCACTGGTGCCAACACTGTCTTGCTTCGTGGCAAGAAGAACACCCGTGAGGCCGTCAAGCACTTTGGCATGGGCCCTGGTAAGCACGCCAAGCCCTATGTTCAGAGCAAGGGTCGTAAGTTCGAGAAGGCCCGTGGTCGTCGTGCTTCCCGCGGCTTCAAGGTTTAAAAGACAAAAAAAAAGAAAGAAAGAAATATCCTTCACTCCATCCTCTCTTTTTCTTGGACAATCTTTTTTTTCCCTTTCCTTGTTGATGTATTGGAGAAAGTGGGTAATGCCAGTCAAATTCTGCAAAAAAAAAAAAAAAAAAAAAAAAAGAAAAGAAAAGAAAAGAAAACCCAATGACAATGTTCCTAATAAAACGACCCAGTATTTGGTTTTTACATTTTCGGGTTACATAACACTATAACACTAACTTCACCTTCGAGGAACCTATTTAACGATTATTTATTTTTACTTTGAATGAGGGATAAAGGAAAGCATGTGCTTAAAATGTGTCAATAGTCGACATGTGCTGCTTCAGAGTTCGCGATCATACCATCGTGCATAGACTTCAGGATGGCATCGATAGACCGTCTCAAACACATGTGCACCATTGCTCCATGTCTTATCTACTTCGTCATATGAATTTGACATAGACGATGATGACGTTGTAGAAGGCTTGAAGGAGCTAGTGGTTGCGATGTCGAGACCATGCGCCACCCCCTCGACCTTGATTTCATCATTTTTTGTCAGTGTTTTTGAAGAGAAATCAATATTTGAACCGGTATACAGGCCCTTGATTTTTGAAGGGATCTGTGCATCCAAGGATGGATCAAAAAAGAATGGAATACTATATCGATCTTGTCCAGAAGTGTTATTCAAAACTCGATGCACTGTTGCATGATACAACCCTCCAGTCAGCTTTTCAATAGCCTCTCCCATCGTCACAATGAAAGTCTCTGGAATGGGTCTAGTCTCCATCCATTGACCCGTCTTGGGATCCTGACCTTGAAGTCCACCTACCATGTCTTGTAATAAGACTGTCAAGAACCCTGTATCTTTATGAGCACCACATCCTATGGTCGCATTGGCAGACTTTTTAACTGAAGGATAGCGGGCGCATTTTAGTCGGTAATAAGGCGTCTTGCCGAACAGATCTCGAAAATAAGAACCAGATAACCCAAGGGACAATGCCACGGCTTCCATCAACTGTTGAGACAATTGCTCTAGCTGACGCATGAAATCAAGGATACAAGGTTGGAATCTAGGTACAAGAGCCAGGGTTGAAGTCGGCCATTGATTGGGGCCTTGAAGACCATGGAAATCTGGAGAGATGGACGGTTGGAAGGTTGTGATAGGGTCTTGTTCAGGACCGAACTGTAGCTGTTCACGATGGTCAAGCTGGTTGTTGGTAAATTCTTCTCCTGCATGGAAAAATAGATGGGAAGGAAAAATAAAGGGGGAGAAGAGAGGGGGTTGGTGGAGATTAATAACGGTAATGAAATTGAAACATGCAGAACACAAAAAGAAGAAATTGTGTAACCCAACTTTCACTTACCCATCACTTTGTATCCACGGAAGTGTCTACTGTTAACAATCAGCATCTTCTTCTTCTCCTCCAGTGGCAGAGCAAAGTACTCTTGGACAGTCTTCATGGCATCTGTAGTCACTTCGATCGAGATGCCATGATCCTTAATGTAAAACGTACCAATCTCCATCAGCGAATGGCGCATCTCTTGTAAAAACTTTGGACGCGTTTCTGGGTTATGGAAATCCTTCAGAGAAAGTGTCTTTATCTTGCCAGGAAAAATAGTAGTAGCGGTAGTAGTGCTAGAGCAGCCCTGGGTCTTGAAGGTGGCAGGAACGGTAGTGGCAGCACTGTTGATATTGAACGCAGCAGGGCACGCTGAGATCTCAGCAAAGGCCGGTGTGACCAAACGGGCAACTTCAAACATCTTTTTTTTATTATTTAGAAAGGATGGAGTAATTCAATGATGGAAGAAAATGAAAAAGCTTATAACAGATGATACAACAATCAAGAAGAATAAAAAAAAAGTGAATTATGGGAAGACGCGTAGAATAATATATATATATATATATATATTTATATATATTTAAATAGATAATTATAAATATTATGATTAAAGGAGATTATTTGTATCGTTATGATTTCAGCAAGCAAGAAAATGCAATAGATGGATTAAGATGATAGATGTGTGATAGTGAAGCCCAATGCTGAAGGAAAAAGAAAAACAAAAGGAAGTAGCAAGAAGTACATCCCTTTTATACATTTTTTTCTCTTAGTCTTCCTTTCGAAAGATGGAAAGGGAACCAAAAATCGCAACCCCATTTTGTTGCCAGCAAAAGGCAGAACACTTTTGATTAAAGAATGAATTGACATTGTAAATACAAATCAAATAAGCTATTAAACAGGCTACTCTAGACCTTTTGAATAGCAAATGAGTGGGTGGCTATTATAATTAGATATCTAAATAGCATTGGATGAGTATTCCACACTGCTGCTTCAGTTGTCAAGGGGGAAGGGGATCTAGGCGTATATCCATCCAGTTGCTCAACGGAATTAAGTGTACACAACCGACAAATCGAAACGTGGTTGAACTGTAGTCAATATATGAATGAATGGAATACAATGAACGAGAAAGAATACTGAGTAATAAAAATAAAAAAGTAATTGGTAAATACTGTTTATTCAGGTTTATTCCCTGTGCCAATGTCCTCATATAGTAATGCCATTTAAAGGGGAAGGGAGAGGGAAGGAGGGGAGGAGCAAGTAAGTAAACAGCAAGGACGTGTAAAATTTGAATCATTGGGCGTTCGTTATGTCTTGCAAGAAGAGCACAATAGAGTTCAGGTTTGCAGGGAGCCAAATAAAAACAAAGAGGCATTTTAGAGAATAAGAGAGGATGGTCCCCGCCTTGGCCATTCGCCGGCAATTATAAAAAACAACAACAGAGATATGGATCAAAACAATCCAAGGTGCACTCTGATTTCGCCACTAAGTTTACATCTTGCTTCTCTCTCGCTTTTTTTTTTTTTTTTTTTTTTTTTTTTTTTTTTTCAGGTTCAAGTTACTCTACTATTTTTTGTCTACGTCTGCATTAAATGGATTGCCATTTCATGTCTGCGTTTGATGTGTTAATGTCGAGGAGAGTAATAGAATGAAATATAAGTAATTCACGGCTCTCATCTCTTCATGAAAATCGGTCTTATTTCTTCAGGAAAAGGCCATTTCTCATTTTTATTAATTATAATGTCAAAAAAAGATATATAATTTTATGAATCTTGCTCATATTGAGTAGGAAGGGGGGAGACGTAGGTGTGTCAACCCCTTCTGTTGCTTACAATGAAAACACGATAAAGGTTCACTACGCCTGATCCTCTATTGATCTAGCATTATACCATCTTCATCGAGCTCTTGGGCCTCTTTTCAAGGCATCTTGCGAGCAAGACCGTCGCTGCGCATTTATTAGAAATACACTCATTTTTCAAAATAGTGATCAGGAATATGCTATGCAAGAAGAGGGGTGGGCGTAACATAGTGCAAGGAGGTAGAACTCTAATTAACCCGCCTATGTATAAGCACTTTCTACGTCTGAACGTGTCAAACAACACAATCCCTTTGAAAACACGTCTCTATCAAACCTAGCGGCACATTCCTCACTAGTCCTGCAATATCTCCTCAGAAAGAGCACTCCTCGCTGTGCTCTATTAGCAAGAAAGCGGAAATAGGCCCGGGAGAAAAGGGAGAAAGAGAGAAAGTAAGCACTCCTATGCATGTTCACCTAAACCAAAGCAGAACAAGACTAGGGAGGAGCATTTTAAATAGTAACTGCCATGAGCAACAAAAGGTCTGATGGCCTGATATCTATTAAGCATCCATTCTATCTCTCTATTGTGCTTGCCATGAATGGGCATTGTCAACGGAGAAAATGTCTAACAGCAAAAAAAAAAAAAAAAGGCGGATGACTAACCTGGTGATAAGGAGCTGGAAGAAAGGATGGTAAATCAATATTAGCTTCTGCTTTAACAGCTAGTCATGCTTTGAAAGAATCTTTTTTCCCTGTTCCTTATTCTAATTAAATCCTGTCATGAATAAAAAAGAACAGCATTCATGAAGGTCTCTACTACGCATGACCTGTTGAGCTGGTTGCTCAGCAAACGCTTCCCTCCCCTTCCCTCCCTTTTTTTTAATATCTCATTTGTAAAGGAGGGTATAATGCGAAGGAGAAAAAAGGTGATAGAGTTGATAGAAATCAAAAAATGCTCATACTCTTCATTGCCACGAGTGGATCTACACTAGTCAGATGATTCCTTTCATGAGCAGTAGTATATTCAACTATTTATGCTTTTTCCTAGCCTTTATGGCATGGGAAAGGGAACAGATGTGGATTAAGACGCTTTAAGGTCAGAGCCCCTCCCTTTGAACTGGTTATATGGACAACCTACTCATGCTGTGCGCACGATGATCTACAGAAATAGCAAGAGAAGCTTTCGCCCCATTATGCATGCATTTACTTTCATTCCTTATTGGAGATATTCAACGCTCTTTTTTATTTTCTTGACTACATCCTTATTAATTTTTTCTCCTATTGTTGCTCTACTCTAACTTGCTTGAGTCGACTGGCTGTTCATATATTTGTGAAAAGATGTATCACTCCACATGTATCACAACAATAAGCACATGTATGCAGGAGCAAGGACAGCTCTATCGGGAGATGGCTCTCTCCTTTTTTTTTGTCAAAAGGGGGTGTCTCAACGATATTGGACGTGTATTTGTTTTTTGATTGGTTAATTCGAGCGTTGAGCACGTCTCCACAAAGAGTTCGTGTTACCCACAATCCCAACATTCCTTGGTTCGAGTCCTCCTGTGATACATTTATATCAACAAAGGCTTGCTATACGATCTATCGAATTGCTCTGTAGTTTGCCAAAAGGTTTAAAAAAAAATAAAAAAAAAAGAACATTCAAGGCGCGTAATCTATCCAAGAAGGCATGTTGATAAGCCTTCTGCTTAGTTAATTCAAGATAGAAGAAGAAATCGAAATTGAAGGCGATCATCACTATGCGTAGCTTCAGTATCGCAAATAGCGTGAGCAAAATGATCTATTATTGAGAATTTTAGGTGTCATATGCTCCAAGGAAGACGGGTGAAACCTGGGTAACAAGAGAGGTTGATACCTACCCAAAGAAGAAGGAAAAGAGAGGAACACACTACATCATATTCTGGGTCCATATCCACCTAGGTCCATTATCTCTTTATCTCGGTTGATGAAAAAGATTGGATCTAGGAAATAGGGTAAAGCAGTGAGTAGCTTCCTTGCGGGGAGACAAAAAGAGAGAGCTATAGGCTATTTGTGCAGGTGTTGTATAGCCCTTTCCAACGATGTGTGTTTGCATGAATTCTTTAAAAAAAAAAAAAAAAAAAAAAAAAAAAAACGTGGTTTTTCTGCTCTGTAGTCTTTACAATAAGGCCATTAGTGCTTTTATGCAGATTAAGGTTATCAGTGCTTTCATGCCAACAATTCTAAGGCATTCATAAAGCATATTTGTACTTCGCGTCAAGGAAGGGAAGATAAGGCACGTTAGGACTCTCGATTATTCTTTCCATTTTTCGTAATATGATTGCTTTGCATAATGCTTGTAAAATATTCCTTGCTAGTTATGTACAACGACTGGGGTTTATTGAGCCTGACCATTATGACAGCCTATGGTCGTCCGACTCGTTTGCCTTTACTCTTATCCTCCCATCCCTACTTATTTTAGGGGATGCAGCCTCTTGCTGTGAGAGTTGCCTCCTGCATTTGTTGCCTTGCTTGCTCAAACCCAAATACATCTTCAAACAGATATAAAGAGATGTCAAAGGCATTCTGGCTTGTATCTGCTCTACCTCCTATTGTTATTATTATTATTATTATTATTATTATTATTGTTGTTGTTGTTGTTGTTATTGTTGTTGTTGTTGTTGTTGTTGTTATTCGAAAGATCGCACACTGTTGCCTCGATATTGTATGCTTTCAGTCTCCTGCTTTAGCGCACAGCTTCCCTTTTTTTTTTTTAGTTGTGATCACACCCATGAAAACTTTAATGATAGCAAAGTTATTTATTCTGAGGACTCTTACATCTCTTTTCCTGTACCAAACTGACATGAATTTATAAGGTTCGATGTATATACTATTCATGCATTGATGCGCGTTATGTTTTTTTTTCTTCAACAACCGAGATCAGCATCGTATTTTATCTTCTAGTTTTCCCGATGGATGTATCACAAGCATTGGAAGCGATTCGGCAAAGGCATCCAGTTAGAGGGAAAAAAAAAAAAAGATCGAGAAATGGGGGACACACTTGTCTGATACTTTCTTTTTTTTTTTTTTTTATGAATCTGCTTTCTTTTTCATCCCCTTTAACCACAGAATTCATTCTTGCCTTATATCTCTCTATCTCTCATCCTTTACGCGTTTGCAGAAGTGCTAGATGATTGCGCATCAAAAGCCTTCTGTGTACAGGGGTGCTCTATTTGGATGTAGGTTTTAGTGAAGATACGAAATAATGGCATACAGCAAGATGAGTAAAGTCTCAATACTAATCTACGATGAACTACATTATCACAAATGGTCGGTAAACCAACGCGACTAAAAAAAAATAAAAAAAAAAAAGTTCATTTCACTTCTTAGGATAATGACAGTAGGTGAAGGTTGCAGCATTGCACCGTAGACATATTGGCACCCTTTTGAACTAATACTTGATCTGCTAATGTTCCGGCTTGTGGAATGATTGAAGGACCCAATGTAATACGATCCAGAATTAATATATCGATGTGACATCTACTTATTCTTGATACATGTCATTTGCAGTACCTTAGTCCTCTTTCGTGAACTCTAAATAATGACCTTTATTATATTACTCGTTATATGGAGAAGATACGTACATCATTGCTTGAGGGATCTGTTCATTGACCTTTTTTTTTTTTTTTTTTTGCTTTCGACGCGAATCAATCGCCTCTTAAAATTAATTTATTGATTCAGATTCAATCCAATGATCTCCCGATCTCTCGTGCTTCATTCACAACCTCGGCCTCTGTGTGTGTCATACATTACTGAAACAGTTATTACGAGCAGCAGTCTACTCCTCCCAACACTTGACGTTGGGGCCATTGACAGTAGAAATACATGTCAATTACAGACTGATCATTGGTCACTTAATAAAAAACGGAATGAATTTAAGCTTTGGTAACGGTTCCTAATAAAAAGCTTAATTTGTACTGACAAGAGCACACAAGAAAATGAGTAATTATCTTGTTCCCAGGAGCAATTGTTGCCCAATTTACAACCCATGCTGTTTTTTTATTTTACTGTCTTTGTTAAATAAGAAAGAAAGATAGACGACTGTCAGTGCGTATTTATTAAGCTTGTATTAGTGTAGAATATCTCTATATTAGTCGATCGACGTGCAACTCCAGCATGGTATTATCATTCATTTGATTCTAGTCCCTTGCACGAGCCTCTGCAGCCTTCCGTGCTGCATCAGCCTCCTTCCTAGCATTTTTCTCAGCACGTTTTGCTAAAGCCTCTGCTTCTTTAGCAGCCTTCTTCTTCCCTTGACGGGTCTTGGGTTCTGGAGGTGGCGGAGCATCAAACGCTGTGGGAGAGAAGTAGTTGATCACCCTCATCGAGATACCATATCCGACGAATGTGGCGAGTGGGTAATAGATATAGCTATTGTTGATGTCATACGCCTAATGCGATAGTAAATAAAAAATAGGTCTATGAGACATCTGCTCGAAGAAAAAATCCACTCTTTTTTCAAACTTCTCTCTATAAAACAATCTTTTCCGCGTATTAGAATATGGTCATACATGGCAGAACAGAAGTGAAACAAGTAATATGCCGAAACCAACTGCGTAGAAAAGAGGCCGGTAGGACATGATGGAAAATGAATGAAAAAGAATGTTACAGAAAGCATTCCTCGTTGCATAGTTCCAAGTTTGTAAAGAGGCGCTTTGGTCAGGTGATGTCCCATATGACTGCCATTTTGTTTTGTATTCAGTACATTTTTTTTTTTTTCTATTGTTTCCAATTGACCTCCTCATTCACTACCTTTTCTCTTTTTTTTCGACAGGAATTGCTCCTACCAGATGTCTGATTCCAAATCGCAAAAGCTGGTTAAAGCCGAAAAGGATGCAGAAGCTCCTCAGGAGAATCCCTATCTTGCACATTTGCCGCCCAGTGAGCGTCTGGTCGGGGGCGCAGCTGCCTCTGGACGAAAGAATCCCTATGGTCTTGCTCCCAACCATCCTTTGGCCAACTTCGTCATTGGCGCCACCACTGCAGAACAGGCAGAAGCTGCTGAGGAAGGAGATATTAACCCATTCACCGATAAGCCCTTCAGTGATAAATATCGCAAGATCCTTGCGGGTCGTCGCAAGCTTCCTGTCAACAAACACCGCAAAGAATTCTTGAACTTGGTTCAGAATAACCAAGTTGTTATTCTGGTGGGAGAAACGGGGTCTGGAAAAACTACTCAGTAAGGTTATTCTTTTTTCTTTATGCTTTCTGACGCGTCATTATAGTGAATGATCGCAATTTTAATGAGACATCTACGTGATGACCATTTGGATTGATATTTATTTTTCATACTCAATCTCTTTAACGTAATAGGATCCCTCAATTCTTGGTGTTTGATGAACTTCCTGGATTCAAGGGTAAAAAGATCGCGTGTACTCAACCCCGCCGTCTTGCTGCTATGTCCGTTGCTCAGCGTGTTGCAGAGGAAATGGATGTTGTTATGGGCCAAGAAGTCGGCTATAATATCCGTTTCGAGGACTGCACAAGTGCAAGTACCATTCTTCAGTAAGTTTCTTTTTTTTAAAAAAAAAAAAAAAAAAAAAAAAAAATCCACCGCCGCAGTCATTATTTCCATGTGAGATGTTTTAGGAATCAACTAACTTACAGTTATTATACCCATCCATAAATAGGTACATGACTGATGGTATGTTACTGAGGGAGGCAATGAATGATCCACTGCTCACACGTTATTCTGCCATTATTCTGGACGAGGCTCACGACCGCACATTGTCAACTGATATTTTGATGGGCTTGATGAAGGAGATCATTAGAAAGAGATCAGATCTCAAGGTAGTGGTCATGTCTGCTACTCTGGATGCTGGGAAGTTCCAAAAGTACTTTGACGATGCACCTTTGATGAGTGTTCCTGGCCGTACCTTCCCTGTTGAAATCTACTACACTCCTGAGCCTGAGAGCGATTACCTGGAAGCTGCTATTTTCACCGCGCTTCAGATCCACCGTAGTGAGGATCCTGGCGACATTTTGTTGTTCTTGACAGGAGAAGAGGAAATCGAGGATGCATGCAAAAAGATTAAAATGGAGGCAGATATGATGCCTGATACAGGCCCAGTCAAGGTGTTGCCACTGTACTCTACCTTACCGCCCCAGGCTCAAAAGAGAATTTATGAGGATGCACCCCCACCAAGGACTCCTGAAGGACGACCAGGACGAAAGATTGTTGTTTCTACCAACATTGCTGAAACGTCACTGACAATCGATGGAATCGTTTATGTCATTGACCCTGGTTTCTCGAAGCAGAAGGTGTACAATCCTCGCATCCGTGTGGAGTCACTGTTAGTCTCACCTATTTCTAAAGCGTCAGCCCAGCAGCGTTCTGGTCGCGCTGGACGTACTCGGCCCGGAAAATGCTTCAGGCTATACACAGAAAACGCATTCATGAAGGAGCTTATTGAAACAACCTACCCTGAAATCCTCAGAAGTAACTTGGGTACAGTTGTGTTACAGCTCAAGAAGCTTGGAATCGATGACCTTGTCCATTTCGACTTTATGGATCCCCCAGCACCTGAAACACTCATGCGTGCCTTGGAACTACTTAATTACCTTGGGGCTCTGGATGATGATGGTAACCTGACACCTTTGGGCAGTATCATGGCTGATTTCCCCCTGGACCCTCAACTTGCCAAGATGCTTATTATGAGTCCTCAATATGGATGCTCTAATGAGATCATGACCATTGTCTCATTGCTCAATGGTAAGGCACCATACTTTGTTTGACACTTCTAAACTTTTGATTTATTTTTATTCATAAAAAAGATGATGGAAAAGAAAAAACATATGCTTATTATTATTCTGTTTCATAATAGTTCCTTTGGTCTTTGTCCGCCCTGCAGACCAGCGAAAGGCAGCTGACGAAGCCAAGGCTCAGTTCGCTCATCCAGATGGCGACCATCTCACACTTCTGAACGTATACCACGCTTATAAGACCTCGGGCGAAGATCAGAAGTGGTGCTACGACAATTACTGCAATTACCGTACCTTAAAGTCCGCAGATAATGTCAGGACACAACTCAAGCGTTATATGGAGCGTTTTGATCTGGACTTGGTGTCACTGCCCTTTGATGAAAGGCCTAAGGGTCCTTACTATACAGGAATTCGTAAGGCCTTGGTTACAGGATACTTTATGCAGGTAGCTCATCAGGAGAGATCAGGAAATTACCTGACCGTCAAGGACAACCAAGTAGTTCGACTTCATCCCAGCTCATGCTTGGACCATGCAGCCGAATGGGTGATCTATAACGAATTTGTGTTGACGAATCAAAACTTTATCCGCACTGTAACAGAAGTGAAAGCAGAATGGCTTTTGGATATCGCTCCAATCTATTTTGACTTGGATTCATTCCCTAATTGTGAAGGCAAGCGCGTACTTGAGAAGTTGCTCAGGAGGCGGAAAGATGAGGAGGATATGAAGAAGAACCGAAAAAGTGATCGCAGTGACCGTGACCGTGATTACAAGCGTAGGAAATAGTCGTATGGATACGCATCCTCTTCATTTATGATAGATAAACTCTGTAGATCGAATCCCTCTCTCTTTCTTTTTCTCTTTTTCTTATTTTGCATCCCTCATAGTCAGTTGTTTTCTTCAATTCAATCTCCAATCATAATCTCAACAGAACTGATAAAAGTAATTTCACAGCTTGCACTGTGTATCAATATTTACTTGTAACAAACATGTTTTCTGCCAATGCTGCGGCATGATTTTTTCTGGGTTGCACAGAAGTTTGCACAGTCACCATTGGTCGCGACATGCCATTGGGCACCTGAGCGACCCGTAGTCAGTGAATAAAATATGATGACTACCCTATCAAAAACCTGTCGAACTGCTTGTAATATATCAAGTAAAAAAGAGTATTGACGGCAGGGAATATCTCTTCCCATCCATCATCACAATCCCTCATCGTCCTTTCATTGACATTGCAAACTATTTTGTAACAATTTTTCCATATATTTTATAACTTTGCTCTGACCTAGAAGTATCCCATGCTGGTCATTACGATGCGTGCACACCGCTCCATGGCTCTCGTGGCCCTAGGAAGACCCCATCGCCATCGGGCTGTCATCTACACCTTACGAACACGAGTTCATACCAACCACACGGATGCATCGAGCAACGGTATCTGTCGAAGCCTACCTCACCGCTTCTTCACTTCCACGACGACATATCGATACGCAAATCAACCCCCTAGCGGCTCGTCGTCGTCGTCGTCACCAACTTCCTCCATCCCTTCGACTACCTCTGCTTCAACTAATGCTACATCTAGCGCTTCGCAAGAAGTCTCAGAAGGAGTGGCTATTGCTCCCACTCGAATCACCCGCAAGAGATTTTCAAAGTTGACATCCCCAGAAACTTCATCAACTACGCCAATAGCAGCCGCAAAAGCTGAGACAGTCAAAGTAGGTTCAGGAGGTGCTCCAGCAAGTTCAATTGATGCCGCTGCGAATTCTGCTGCGATACAGCAAACGTCAGAAAAGATTCATGCTGACGACGGGAAAAGCCGCGAGACGACGGCAAAGATCCGGTCAGGGTCACAATCCACAAGAGGTAATTTTTTTTCTCACAGAGAATGAAAATATTCAGGCTGCTCTTTATAGGGAAGCGGTTCCACAGTTTATTTTTTAATGCTGTTTCTTTGTTGCTAAATGACAGGGGATCCTCCTTCAAGCGACAGCTTCCACAATGGATCCAACTCATCCTCTAGCTATCCACAATCGCCTTATTCAAGTCCCTTCCAGTCTCGTGATGTCATTGGTGGTGGAGGAGAAGCATCTGCTGGTAGGAAAAACGGAACATCTACGCAATTCCCAGATTGGTTTGGAAGTATTCAAAATCCTCGAATGGTAAAACATCCTTTTATTTCCACTGCCAAGTCTTGATCTAAACAGTACGCTGACGAGCATCTAGTATTTATTTTTTCAGCAAGAAGCTAATCTCAATTTGAACCATCCTATGTTTATCATCTTTCTACAGATCGTCAAACATCTGGATGAATATGTCATTGGACAGGAGAAGGCTAAAAAAATTCTTGCAGTAGCTGTTTACAATCATTACTCGCGTGTCAATGAGAATCTACGTCAGCACCATATCCAAGAAACGGCAGCAGCTATGGCCAACAACCCACCACTTTCCACGAATATGTATTATGGCTCCAGTGTCTTAATGAGCGACGGACCCAGCACACCTGATCCTATCATTGAGCCGTATAACCCTCCATCGCCACCTACTTCACCATCCTCGTCCTCGTCTTCGCCCTCATCTTCAGGATCAGACTCGAGCTCTTCCTCGAAGGAAACTAACTCCGGTTCCTCTAGCGGCACTAACTCCAACAGTAATAATAGCGAGGCACATGTGCCCGGTAGACGTAAGAAAATAATAACGCGCATATGGATAAATGTGATATTTAAGGCTCTAAGGGGCATAGACCAGTTACTTTTCACCATAGCTTTTGCAGAGAAAACTGAGAGCCTCACAGTATTTTAAGAAGCATTCATGCAAAAACCAAAAATACTAACCTGTTTATTACATCTGTATGCTCTTGATTCTATTTTACAGAGGCTATTCACTATCCACATCGGCAGCCCTGGATCAATACGGCAACCAATGGACATGGACATGGTCAGAACCCTCCATCAATGTTTTCGCAACCATACGATACATACCAGAAACCACCATCACCACCTCATACTCAGCAATCGCCCTTGGCGCGTAAGGGTGTAGAAACACAAACAAAGACACCACCTACTATTTTTGACAAGAGCAACGTCCTGTTGCTAGGACCCACTGGGTCAGGAAAAACCTTGCTGGCGCGAACATTGGCTAAAGTTCTTAATGTTCCCTTCTCTATGTCTGATGGTAGGGATTCTATTTCTTTGGCAGGATAAAATCCATTTTAGAATGGATCTCGGAGAATGCTGTAATGAATCCAAACATATCTAAGATTTTTGTTTTCTCTAACAACCTTTTTTTAAACATTTTATTCTGAAAATATAGCTACACCATTCACGCAGGCTGGATATGTGGGCGAAGATGTGGAGATGGTCATTCATCGACTGTTACAGGTACTTGAAAAAGAATACGTTGCATATATGTTTGACGTGAAAATGTTGCAGGTATTCAGCTGGAAATTAAGAAATCTCTATATTTTCTTTTCCCCCCTCTCTCTCAACAGAACTGCGATTATAATATCAAAAAGGCGGAGTGTGGAATTGTTTTTATTGATGAAATTGATAAAATCGCAAAACGACCTGATACTATGTCAATTTCCAAGGATGTTTCAGGCGAAGGTGTCCAGCAGGCTTTGCTAAGGATGTTGGAAGGTACTGTCGTCAATGTTACAGAAAAGAATGGCTCGAGCTGGAATGGATCAAGTATGGGTCGTAAGAATGGTTTGCCTGGCATTGGAGGGCCAAATTCAGGAGGAGGAGGACCTGGAGCCAAGGGTGAGATTTACTCTGTGGACACGAGCAATATTCTTTTCATCTTGAGTGGAGCATTCATTGGGCTTGAAAAGATCGTCATGGACCGTGTATCAAAGGGCTCAATTGGTTTTGATGCCAATGTGCGGGCACCATCATCCGAATTGAGCTCGTCAAAAGGGGCCGCAACCCATGTGAGCAAACTTTTGGACCAAGTAGATCCTGCAGGTAAAGTGCCACAAAACTGTCCTAATGAGGATGCTTATTTAGTTTGAAGTACTATAGGGCTATTCGCTCACCAACAAATGCGTATTTATTTATTTTTTTGGATGGGCGTTGGTGTTTTTAGATTTGATTAAGTTTGGTCTTATCCCTGAATTTATTGGGCGTCTGCCTGTGGTTGCATCTGTTAATCACTTGGATGAAGCTGCCTTGGTGCGCATCTTGACAGAACCTCGCAACTCTCTTGTGAAGCAGTACCAAGGGCTATTTGGGTTGGCTGATGTAAAAATCCATTTCTCGCAATCTGCACTACACTCCATTGCTGCGCAGGCCATTGAGAAACAAACTGGCGCCCGTGGTCTGCGTCGGATTATGGTAAATATCTATCCCGAGTAGGCCTTTTCTTATACCCTCAACTAAAGAAAATAGATGTGGTATATTGCAATGTGTGGATCAAAATATTAACCACGTGAATTTTTTTTTCCTTTGTTGTGTTCATAATAGGAATCAATGTTGCTTGATATGATGTATGAGGCTCCAGACTCTTCGATCAAGCATATCGTGATTAACAAGGAGGTTGTTTTGGGCAAGAAACCTGCGTTATGTTTTGGAAGGGGTGCTGAAAGCACAGTCACTGAGGCCTTGGACCGAGATGATGAGGAATTTGGTTTCAGACACCCACAGATCCAGGAAACTCCAGCTGCTGTTGCAGGCCAAAGTCAAGATGACGAGCCTGCAGCCGCCGAAGCAGTGTCGGTGTAATTAGAGTGCTTGAAGAGGAAAGGGAGCCAAGCAAAGCTCAGGCATTCACTGGAATTGGGTTATGGTTAGGCGGTCGTAGCAGGCTTTTTTTTTATTTTGTTTTGTTTTGTTTGCTTTATATTTTATTTTATTTTTTATTTTTTTGTTTGATAGTATTCCTCAATTGCCTTAGACCGCATTGGATATCTTTCACGCGAAGCGACTCTGTTCATTAGTGTAAATAAATTAATAAATGCTTTTCTTGAATGTAATAAGCCTTGTTATGTTCTTTGAAAATGTATACCACAAATGTATGAACATCAATAGAAAGGCCTAAATCATAGCTCTTTCATCACAAGGAAAGCACACAAGGCGTTTTGGTCATGCAAAAATGCGATAAAAGTCCACGATATAAACAATAAGAAAATCAGGAAGGAAGATGGGCTATCACGTAAGAAAAAAAAACCCACCACTTTCTTTCTTCCTTCCTTCTTCTAAAACACGAAAAACTAGCAAATCCCTTAACAAGAAAGCATGTTCGATCAAAGCACTGTATGAAAGCGGCATTACAATAACGAACAAGAAGGGGTCTTCAACGACTTATCGTCAACTATTCTTCAAAATTCGAGTATATATTTATCGTAATATTTTTTTATTTTCATTGAACACTTCCAGGTCATCACGCCATTGAATATGCTGACAAAAGACAAGCCATTGCTTAATATCAATGTTGAGGGCATTATCCGGCATGTCCAGGCGCCATGCAAGCGTAATGATGGTGTTGAAGGTAGAAAAAAATGGAGCCAAGGCATGTTGTTTTCCATTTCTGTACAATATTATTATAAACATTTTTAACGTTTTTTTTTTAAAAAAAAAAAAAAAAACCAGGCTACTGGACGCGTTTTCTTCTCCGTGGTGAGTTTGTGGGGCCAGAAAGAAAGGCGGTCATCACTGCAGAAACCTTGGACCAGGTCCCAAGGCTTCACCATGACGATGTAATCATCATGTATAATGTACAAGTATGTTGTCCTTATATTTCTTATATTTTTTCCAACTGAAAAAAAAAAAAAAAAAAAAAAAAAAAAGTCTAATACTCTTTATATTTGGTTATAGTGGAATCAGACGCTTGATGGTCGAGAGATCCATGCGGATGCTCGATTCGCTGGCTGTAGCTGGAGTATCAGTACTTGAAAGACTATTCTTTGTGTCCACAACGAATCCGGCGCCTTTGAAATGAGGGTCTTTGGATATGCAACTTACGTATGCTAAAACATATTATGAAGAAATGAAAGAGACGCGTAGCATTGAAGTACACTATTCCCCCAAAAGTCTATTCCCTAATCGATGATCAGTACAGAAACAGTAAAGAGATCAGTCCTAATTTTTTTTATTTCTGCAATCCGAGGGAAGACCATGACATGTGGAATTGGATTGAACTGTGAACATGAAAAATAGTCATTTTTTACCTTTGCTCTACCCTCTTGAAAGAGCTCTTGTTCTCTTCTTTTTCTTGGCCTCTTCTTCTTTTCTATATTGCCACAGCTATCACACTATGTGCAATTTTCCTTTCTTCTCTCCTACTCAACAGGAAAAAAGGAGTGAATTGCCTGTGAGTACTTTTTCTTTTTAATCATTTTTTTGTGTGTATAGTTAAATGAACTTTGCAAAAAGGAAAGAAAAGGAAGGTATGCTTCTTGATTACTTTATAGGAACACATAATCGATGATATTTAAACATTGTAAAAAAAAAAAAAAAAAAAAAAAAGCAGGTCTTCACCCCTTTGTCGAAACTGGAACCCAAACGCCAGGCATATGGGATCAACGTCCAAGGTAGAATATCAGTCGGTGGCATTCCATCTCGATGCATGTATGGAGTCCCAGGTAAGAGAGGGCGGGAATAGCTGCATGGGTGGTCAAGGAAGACGCAAAAAAATAAAAATAAAAATAGAAATAGAAATAGAAATAAAAACAAAAAAGGATTGCTGATCAACCGGAATGACTCTTCCTACGTTTCTCTCTAAAAGGCTTTGGTGTCCCCTTCAAGATCCAAGACTTGGATGGGAAGAATGAACGCGATGTGTACTTTACAAGCCCAGAGGAGGAGCTACTCCCGCCTGCAGGGATTGGGTTCAATATCATACTCACCAATATGACGGTAAAGGGAAAATAAGCCGTGACGAAAGCACACGAGAGATGTGGAAATGGAGAATGTGAAAAAAAAAATCCGCTCACGCGTTTTTCTGCTGACTCTTTTATCTTTCTCTCTTAATATGGATTACGGACCAAAGTGGGGCCACTTTTCAAGCGACATGATCCATGGTGACACTCGTATGGATGGGAAATGGACCATTTGTCCTGACAGCCTTACCATAGCGACATAAAGGAAAAAAGGTATCCAAGGAACAAAAATAGTAGCAGAAGCCATACCGCACAACTTGCTTCGATTACCAATATTCAGCTTTCTAGTGATTGATTCAGCGAGAGGCCTTTTTGGTGAATGACAAAAAAAAAAGAAAAGAAAAGAAAAAAGCAGAAAATCATAATTGTTATCATCAAACATAGTAGCAACAGCTAAAAAAAATTGCACAATCGTCTTTCTTTTTGCTCTAAGCACTTAATTTCATTCATGTTCAGCTATAAACCATCATTGGAGAATAAAAACAGCAACTTTGCGTCCTATGGCTGCTTTCAATGTATTAATACCTGGGCTTGACGGGCCACGATTCATTGCTGAGGGCATGATCGTGAACGCAGCATTTCCATCCCTCAACAGCGCGCTTGAATGTAAGATAAATACATACATATAAACAGAATAAAAAGGTTGTTCACCAACACCTGGCCGTTATTATTGCTTTTCTTGTCCCTATCATCATCTTATACTGGCATCAATGTGCCATATTAGTGTGGGAGATCATGCTTGACATTAAAGACGAGGGCACAGAAACTGAGCGTTCAGTCTACATAACCACAGCTAAGTATGAAAGGCTACATGGTATCCGGGTTGGCCGAGGGGTCACTATCTTGAATGCTTTGGTAAGACGTCGCTCTTGGGTCCATATCTATGCTTTTAAGGAATCATTGCCAGATATCAACTTGATCTAAAAGGCGTCTTTTTTTTTTTTTTTTTTTTTTTTCGTATTTATTGCTCATTACTGATTGTCTATCCTTTAGTAGTGGACTCATGCTGAACCAACTGGAGAACATGTATGTGCAAGCTGTCGGAACGGTAGCTTTTGGTACATCTATGACGCCTCAGGGACGCAGAGAAGCAATGCAACCCTTCATCATCTGCGTAAGGGAATGCTATTAGATTGATAATTTTGAGCTAAAGTCTTTTCCTTGCGATATCCATATAATATATTATTTTGTGGCAAATAAATCCACTCACAAACACCTGAACAAAAAATGGCTTTTGAAGTGAAGTCTGGAGCGATAGCGGAGTGTCAAAGCATCGTCGTTGAAACGGCTTGTAAAAGCATGTGGCCTTTGCTGTACGAAGTATAACTTGCCTTTATATATTCCTCTCTATTTTCTTTTTTTTTTCTTCTTCTTCTTCTTCCCATCCGCAACATATTGTCTGTATTTAGATATGGCTGCATATAAGCATTTAGTAAGACATTATCCCCCATGTTCTTGAGCAACCCTAAATGAGCCATCTTACTAAACACAAATAATCACTTTCGTACGTAGAAATTCACTCCATTGAACGCTCTGCCCGGTGGGCTGATGATGAAAGGCATTAATGTCCAAGGATTAGTCTCTCATATCCGTGGTGCGGTCCCTAGTAATGATGGAAGTGGAGGTAAAAAATAAAAATATAAAAAAAAAATTGAGGCAAAGCCAGTCAAAACGATCTTTTCAAAACTACTGGCATTTATCTTTTTTCTCCCTCTCTTCTCACGCTTCTAATCAATTAGAATGGGAAGTCAGCTTCTTCATCAAGGACACGAAAACTGGCATCGCAAAGCCTGTCTTCCTGGGGTTCCAAAAGCAAGAAGACATCCCTGAATTTTGCGTTGGTGATAAAGTGATTATTGTAAATGCAATTGTAAGTAGTTGCTCTGTAGCTGTACAAGAACATTATAGGGTCCCTATCTCTATGGCTGTCCCTCTGGTGTATACTAACGCGATAAAAACTATGGTTTTGTCTTGTCCTTGATGCATGTAGTACTTTCAAGTATCTCGCCATGATGGTCGTATCTGCGCTGGCCCTCTCACTAACGGCCAATGGACGTTTTACCGCTAATGGACCTCTCTATCTCCGTATCTCCGTACTTCTATGCTTTTTTGCTTTTTAAAAGGAGGTACTACTTGAAGGCCCCCATCCATTTTATCATTATTATTATTATTTTTGATTTTATTTTGGTTGGGATTTTGTTTATATAGGACAGGATATAGAAAAGCAAACGCGTGTCCTTAATCTTAATTCGTCCTACATTTGCAGCGGTGTTTACATTGCCACCAAAATTATATGCCAAGCGAATCAAGTAATAATAAAAGCTGCTTTCTCTCTACTCTAGATCAAAGCGACATTTTACTTATTTTTTTTCTTGAGAAATAAATATCCAATGATACATAATAATAGCGCGCCGCATATAAATCTATCAAGAACCTGGACTCGCCAAACGTGGGTGATGTCAAGGGTTGTGAAAGTAAAGCTATTGAACTGTAGGATATCTCCTAAGAAATTTATTACGCAGCCAGATGGTCAAGAGTTTCCTACTCAAGCAGCCTGATTTCTCCTCCCCCTTCCTATCCGTTTATTTCTCGATCGTGGTTACCATGGGATATTCATGAGATACTGCTTGAAATATGTACACTACTCTTCACCGTCATTTCCTCCACCTGTCCACTTCTCTACTCCTCGCTTGTCCCACTTCAGAACTTACTTTGCTCCCCTAGTCCTTATCTATTCTTATTGATAGCCAACAACGCCCGAAGCCCCATAAAAAATGTGTTGATACATGAATTTTAACTATCCTTGGGCTTTCAAAAGGAGATCAATGGTTGTCAATAAGTCACAGCGGGAGACTAGGTCGTCAAAGATCCATCTAACCGGCCTCTCTATAGGACAATAGGAACATAATGA